CCATCCACTTGTTTACTCCCCAAATGACAACAATGGCCAGGGTTGAGCCAGACTGAAGCCAAGAGCCAGTAGCTTCATCTGGGTCTCCCATGTGGGTGCCAGGGCCCAAGCACTTGGGCCATCTTCTGCTGCTTTTCCCAGGCCATTAACAGGGAGCTGGATTGGAAGTGGAGCAGCTGGGACTTGAACCCACTCCCATGTAGGATGCTGGCATTGTAGGTAGCAGCTTTACCCTCGGTGCCACAATGCTGGCTCCATCCCATGTGGATACCGGGTTCGTGTCCCGGCTGTTCCACTTCCACTTCCAGCTGTCTGCTATGGCCTGGGAGAACAGTGAAGATGGCCCAAGTCCTTGGGCCCCCGCACCCACATGGGAGATCCAGAGGAAGCTCCTGGCTCCTGGCTTCAGATTGGCACAGCTCCAACTGTTGCGGCCAATTGAGGAGTGAACCAGCAGATGGAAGACCTCTCTCCATCTCTATCTCTGCCTCCTTCTCTCTGTGTAATTCTTTCAAGTAAATAAATCTTAAAAAAAAAAAAAAACAACAACATAATGATGTTCAAGTATGCAAAAGTATTCCAGGCAGTTAATCGGTCTGTAAGTGGCACTTCTTGCCCTCCAGTTGAGAAGTTAGATCTGGGGACTAGTATAGGTTAAAGGTATTTTGGGAGCTCCTAGATGGAGCAGGGGCTTTCTGCTGTCCAATAATGTGAGAATCTCACTGATTTTGCTGCTACTCTAAATAGGATGGGTATCGCTCAGTTAACCAGTCTGTTACCCAGATTCCTGCATAAAGGACTAGGTGAAGATTACTGTAGGTATGGTTCTGAAAGTCTGAAAAAGAACAAGGTCTGTCTGTGGAAGTGGCAGTGAGCGTGTCCCACTAGTGACTGAAGGGAGGATGGACATCGGTGTGGAAGGAGATGGCTTCACATCTGGTAGAGTGACAAAGAGGGATTGATCTTCCATCTCCCGGTTTACACCTTAAATGCCTACAAAGGCCAGGCTGAAGTCAGGAGCCAGGAATTCCATCTGGGTCACTTATGTGACCATAATGCCTGTGCTGTCTTAGTCCAAGTCTCTTCCTAAGTGGAATAGGGATGCTAATACTGCCTCACAGGGTTGTGAGAATTAAATGAACACATAGGTGTTCAGTCCTGAGCACCGGGCCTGGCACCGAGTAAGTGCTTAGTAGCTACTGGCTGTTATTAGCACCAGTAAATGGATTCCCAAGGCACATTTTTTACAGCCATCTTGTCAGTAGCTACTGTGGCTCTGTTCTCTCTTCCTCTCTTCTCCTGCCCTTCTTTTCTTCATGTCTAGGCTTTAGAGAGCAACTGGGTGGTTTACCAGACTAGTATGATTTGGGTTAAAAAAAACATAGCTCTGAAAGAGTGGCTCCCACATGCTGGTTCATGAACACATATTGTAACAGAGCTCTTGCTGGTCTGAGAATCAGAACAGTCAAGTGGTTTTTAATAAGTGCTAAGTGTGTTCCTTTGTTTTATTTTGGAATTACATAGTTCTCATTCTTTTACAATGCTGTTTATTGATTATTTTGTCATTGCATTTCATATATTTAGTAGGCAATAAAAAAGAAAAAGAAGCTAAATCATTAATCTAATTCTTTTTGGAAATTTTACTGGTCTTTGACGTCAGTGGTCTGGAAATTACTGCCTAATGCATACATGTTTGGCTTTGTGTTTATGTATGAGTACCAGTGACCAGTATTTGTATCTAAAAACTCATTAGTTTAGTCATTGATTGATTGAACATTTATTGACTCCTTCCTGAGTGCCAGACGCTGTACTAAATGCTTTCCATATCTCATTTCATCTTCATAATTAACCTTGTGAACTGTGTGTTCTCCCTGTGTACTGTGGAATCTCAAAGAGGTGATATCATCTTCACCCAAGGTTACATAGCTATGAACGGTAACTGCAGTTGGATCCCAGGCTCCCCGAGTAGAGTGGATAGGTGCTCTTTTTTCTGTCTAGTTGTTCATAACCTGTCGGCTTTGGACCTGTGGAATTTTAGCTTAGAAACCATATGTATACGAGCTCATGGATATTTTTTCATTATTTTTTTTTAAGATTTATTTATTACTTATTTGAAAAGCAGAGCGACAGGGGGAGGCATAGAGACACAGGGAGAGAAAGCTTCTATCCACTGGTTCACTCCTAAAAGGGCTGCAACTGTCAGCGCTGAGCCAGGCTGAAGCCAGGAGTCTGAAACTCCATCCTGGTCTCTTCCATGGGTGGCAGGGGCCCAAGTACTTGCCTTCTGCTGACCTCCCAGGAAGCTGGATTGGAAATGGAGCAGCTGGGATTTGAACGTGCACTCCAATATTGGTTGCCAGTTTCACAAGCAGTGGTCTAAGTTGCTGTACCACAATGTCAGCTCCGCAAGGGAATTTTTTCAATCAAGATACACTAAAGGTATCTTTATTGGGTAGAGAGTTTATAAACTTTAAAAAAAAAAGATTTATTTATTTGTTTATTTGAAAGTCTGAGTTACACAGAGTGAAGGAGAGGCAGAGGGAGAGATCCTCCATCTGCTGGTTCACTCCCCAGTTGGCCGCAACGGCTGGAGCTGTGCTGATCCAAAACCAGGAGCCAGGAGCTTCTCCTGGTCTCCCATGGGGTGCAGGGCCCAAGCACTTGGGCCATCCTCCAGTGCCCTCCCAGGCCACAGCAGAGAGCTGGATTGGAAGTGGAGCAGTTGGGACTCAAACTGGTGTCCATATGGGATGCTGGCACTGCAGGTGGTAGCTTCACCTGCAGCACCACACGCCAGCCCCTAAAAACTTTTAAAATATGATTTTGTAATACAAAAAGCTTAAAGCATTTCTTCACACAATAATAATCATATGGACAGTAAATTGGAGGTTCATTTCTGGTGACTCTTAAATTAGGAATAAAATGTCCACCTAGCATGAATCATTGTGATTCTTCAACTTTAGTTCCAGCAGTAGGCTGCTTTCCAAGGGTAAAATACTTTTGCTGCAGTGTGATATTAGTGGCTACCCAAGAAACACTTCAGAAACTCCTCACTAAGAATGGAAAATAAGGTGGTATTTAAAGACTTACTGCTAATGTGAGGTTAAAAGTTGAAGGCCAAGTCACAAGTTGCTGAGGTAGACATATCACAGCCACAAAGCCATGGGGCTCTGCGTCTGGTGTAGAGTTGCTTACCGTTGGCCACACATAATCTTTGCCCCACGCTAGACCTGCTGAGTGAGGCTGTTGACCGAGGGACCCACACACGTGTACACCTGGGACACTTCACCAGGAGGTCCTGTTTCATCCCAGCTCACCCTGGCTGATAATGGACAACTGGATGCCGTACCAGCTTTGGGTAGGGTAAGGCACCCTTAGGCTAAGACTCGCTGTTCTAAGCACTCTATAAAGTTGCAGCATCAATGTCTGATCACAAGTCTAGAGGTGATAAATGAAGCACTCTTGGGATCATCAGAGCTCCCACGGACGTTTTGTTTGTGACTTAATTGATACATGACACACCTTAGGACGTTTTTAGTCTCCTCTTTTCCTGAATTGTTCATTGGAATTGGGTGTTTTCTCTCAGAAGACTATTGCTGTAAATAGTTGTAAGTATTTCTTGATAACCTGCCCACAATCCCCTAGTTGTAAATGACGGTTGCAGAAGAGTAATTTCACAGTGATTTGATCTTCCGCCGGTCGATTCCATGCTTGCGGCTGTCCTGAATACATGCTGCCTGTGACAGGTGGCACTCAGCTGGGGCACTGCTCAAGGGCACCGACTCCTCACTGGGCTCCCTGAGGCCAGTGTGCTGTGGCTCCTGCCTCGCTGGTTTCAGACACACCTGTTGCCTTCTGGTTCCTTGACTGTGCCAGGCTCACCCTTCTTGTGCCCCAGACATTTTAGTGGGCTTCCTCGAATTACCTGGGTCTCAGCTCAGATGCTGCCTCAGACAGAGGTTCCCTCGTCATTCTCTGCTGTATCATGTGGTTGTTTTCATCATAGTATTTGCCACTCTCTGCAGTAATCCTATGTGCCTTTTTATTGTTTCTCTCTTCCAATCTACTGCCCACTCTGTGGGTGCAGACACCTACCTGTCCGTATTGTTTACCACTGGATCCCCAGCTTCTGGAACAGTGCCTGGCTGTTAACAGGTGCTGAGTATCAGAGGAATGAATGCCTTGGGGTCACACTCTTGCCCACCCCTCCTATTGGACAGGCCTGAGTTGTGCTTCTGTAGTAGCTCCTATGGATAGTAACTAAGAACTGTGGCAGTTTTCTGGAGCAAAGTCAAATCCATGTGAACTTGATGATTTTTGTAAATCTGTGTGCTGCAAGGCTCCCACGGAGCTGCTTCCTTGCCCACGTGTTGTAGGTTAGAATGACAACAGTTGTTTGGAACTTTATATCCATAAGACTCAATTAGAGGGTAAATGATCCCTTTGGATTAGTTAATTTCATGGTCTCGTGAGTGGTAGGACTTTTGTCTTTGGGTAAGAGCTAAATCCTGAGATCCTGGGCAGTAAAAGACATCTTTAATTTAGAAGAATTTGGCCCTGTCTCTCTTGTCTCTCTGTTTGCTATGGAAATACAGGAATCTAAGTGTAGACATGTAGCTTGAGCTTTGACTCCCAGAGACCTAAGTGGGGCCTGCCTGGCCAGTGTCATTCTGTGGGTTTTATGAAGCTCCTTTAAGCTTTGGGGACCCTCCATGGATTGGAGAGGTCTTCCTGATGGACTCCTTTGAGAATCTGAAGAGCCTATTCTTAGAAAAAATGTACAAGCACCTGTGTATTCAGTTTTGCATGAGTTTGAGGGGTGAACGGAGTTGCTGAATGCGCTCCACGGGCTGTTTGGGGATTCAGGTTGGGTTGTTAGATTGATTTGCTCATCCATCACAGCCTGGGTCACAGCTCTTCTGTTGCTGTTTCTTTCTGACTTGCTCTCCTGTCTTCTGTGCCCTCTCTTGTTTTTGTAATAACCTGCTGGACCCTCTCAGGCCCAAAAGAGGCGATATTCTCCAGGAGTCCAGGTACTTAATTCTTGACCCACCATGGCCCTCCCTTACTGCCCTGTGTCCACCCAACATTTGTTGCTGCTTAGAATCCACGTGGCTGTTGTCTCTGGAGTCCCCGGTATTTGGTCTCACCTGCATCTCCACTTTGCATGTTGACCATCTGGGACAATGGGGAATTCATCAAACGAGTGGCATGCTTCATGTACCCTCTCCTGTCTGCACTCTGCCTGTCTGCTCTGCCTTGGCACTGGGCTTGTCTGCAGCTGTTAGTTCCTCAGGAAGAATGTGCTCCTACAACTCTGCTGGAGACAGAGGGCCTCTGAAGTCAGTGGGAAAATGAGTGGATTATGAGGCAATATTCAGTTCTCTTCCTATGGAGGGAGAACCTTGTCCTCTTAGTGTTATTCCTGGGAGAAGTGATGTGTGCATGAGCCTTAGGTGGGCTGGGAAGTCTTGATGAGGAACCGTCAGTGAGGCTGGATGAGCCCCTTCGGCAGTCCAGTTGTGGCAGTGTTCCTTAGGGGTCCTCATCCATCTGGCATGGCGTATACTTGCAGGGTTTTAGAATTTGACAAATGCTATCCTGAATGAAAAGGTATCCCTGCTGGTCACACAGGTATTTTCAAAGTACCTACTGTGTGCAAAACACCTTAGCAGGGAAGGGATGGGGTTGGAGTGGAGATATTTCTAAGAAACGTGATAAATGATGCTTTTCTCCAAGAACTTCCATAGCCATTGGGAAGTGGTATAGGTGTATGAGAGGGAACCTCCAAATGTTGAGCAGTATGCAGGTACCGAGTGGTGGTCCCTGAGGGGAGGCGAGTCAGACCCCAGAGTCTTACAGGGGCCATCTCGGGCCCATCCTGGACTGGGAGCAAAGAGAACTACTGAAGACAAGTATGTCCCGTCCTGGGCGCATGTCCCTCGAGTGACCATCTGAATGTGAGTGCTCAGGTCTGCTAATGGTGAGGCAGAGCGGCGGTCTGTGTGCCTGTGTTCTGTGTGCATGTGTGCATGTGTTCCCAAACGCCCTTCTCACTGTCTCTGCCTCTCCTCCCCTGCTTCCCAGCGGGTGTTCCCCTACATCTCAGCCATGGTGAACAACGGCTCCCTCAGCTACGACCATGAGCGAGACGGGCGGCCCACAGAGCTGGGGGGCTGCACAGCCATCGTCCGCAACCTGCATTATGACACCTTCCTTGTGATTCGCTATGTCAAGAGGCATCTGACGGTGAGTGCTTGGCCTGGGCCACCTGGCAGTGTGGCTGGTTGGCTCTTGCGGGATGGCCCTGATTTATCTTTTCTTTTAATTCTAGATAATGATGGATATCGACGGCAAGCATGAGTGGAGGGACTGCATTGAGGTGCCTGGGGTCCGGCTGCCCCGGGGCTACTACTTCGGCACCTCCTCCATTACTGGGGATCTCTCGGGTACAGCAGTGGGCACTCATCATTTGCGCTGAGTGAGGCCTCCTGTCCATGCCCACTCCCTAGTCAGGCCTGTCACAGGAGAGAGCCAGATGAGCAGAGCTCACCAGAGAGTCCTGTACTCTCATCCATGTTGACCCCAGCCCAGGCTTTCCTAGTTCACTTGTCTCAGGGGGAAGCTTGGTGCCACCAGAAAGCAGAATTAGGCTTTCTTGAAGCCAGCTCTGCCAGTCTGTGTCTTGTTGTTTACTTGCACATTTGTGGCTCCCTTTCCTCTGTCAAGGCCCCTCCTCATCTCCTGGTGTGCTCAGTTTCCCTCCTCTTAACAAAGCTTTTCCCTGCTCTGCCATCCCTCTCCTAACTGACCCCTGGACTCTCCTATTTGGCAAGACGTCGGATGTGCAGGGTGTCCAGGTGTTTTCATTCCCTACCCATCCACCTCCTGCCCTGCCACACTTGCACCCGAGTGCTCTGCCTTGTTAGCATTGTTCTCCTGGGAGGACTGCTATTCCTTTGCCACCTACAGTGCTCTATCCTTGTCCCCTCTTCAACTCATTTAACTATGAAATTCCTGTCTTCTTTACTTAGGTGGCATTGACAGTGCCTGGTTCTTTTTATTCATGAGTCTCCTCTGATTTCTCTTCCAATTCATGCCTGATTTGGAGTTTCTCTTTTTAAATGCTTATTCTCTTCCTTGCTTTGCTCTCAATTGTAACGTCTTTTGGAAACAGGGAATTGAACAATATTTATTATGGGTAAAGCTGGTTTGGAATAGAACTTTCATGTGACAAAATGGAAAGGAAAATACTCATCTGGACTAGGTAACAGCTCATCAGCTCCAGCCATTGTTTTTGTTTTATTTATTTATTTGACATCGTTACAGAGAGGGAGAGACAGAGAAAGAAAGAGTTCTTTTATCCTGTGATCCACTCCCCAAATGACTGCAATGCCCAGGGCTGGGCCAGGCTGAAGCCAGGAGCCAGGAACTTCATCTGGGTCTCCCACATGGGTGCAGAGGCCCAAGCACTTGGGTCATCCTCCTGTGCTTTCTCAGGCTCATTAGCAGCAAGCTGGATCAAAAATGGAACAGCCAGGACTCAAACCGGCACCCATTAGGGGTGCTGGCATCCAGTGGACAGCTTTACCCACCATGCCACAATGCTAGCCCCTGCTGTAGGAATTCAGTGATGATGCCTAAGTCTGTGTTCTCTCCCATTGGATACCCCTAAATGCAAATTTTTGTATCTTTTTTTCTAAGGTCCTTCTTGCTGATATCCTCTCACTTGTTAGTGCAGTGGATTGTTGAAGACTGCCAAGAAAAGTGGTTTTCCAGTTGTCCCAAGCTTTGATGCCTGTGCATTCTGGGGAGCAACCTCCCCCTTCATATTTTATCTTGTCTTGTGGTTTAAACTTAGCTCTAACAGCTAAAGCTTTTCCCAGTTGAAAATGAATCCAGAATTTTAGGATTTAGGGATCTGCAGCCTAAGCAGCTGTGGATGCCATCTCAATAATTGACATGACCAGGAATCCAAGCCCCAGCAAGTAACCAAACTCGCAGCAAGGGGCATCCCCAGCATTCAGATGTGTGGTCTCTCTCTCTCTTTTTTAAAGATTTATTTATTTGAAAGTCAGAGTTACACAGAGAGAGGAGAGGCAGAGAGAGAGAGAGGTCTTCCATCTGATGGTTCACTCCCCAGATGGCCCCAACCAGCCAGAGCTGCGCCGATCCAATGCCAGGAGCCAGGAGCTTCTTCTGGGTCTCCCACATGGGTGCAGGTCCCCAAGCACTTGGGCCATCTTCTACTGCTATCCCGGGCCATAGCAGAGAGCTGGATAAGAAGTGGAGCAGCCGGGTCTCCAACTGGTGCCCATATGGGATGCTAGTGCTTCAGGCCAGGGTGTTAACCCATTGCACCACAGCGCTGACCCCAGGTGTGTGGTCTGTTAATACCAACTCCTGCTCAAAGGAATGAGACATGACATTCCTTGAGACATGGCTAATGCTCAACCTGAGGCCTGAAATATAGGAACCCAGACCTTCCCAGAAAAGCAAGGGAATTATCAGAACCTTCTTGGTTCTGTGAAAGGATTCAGGAGCCAGGTTGACTAGGCTCCACCTGACAAAGATGGGTTGAGTTGAGCATCAGTGCATTGACACACATGAAGTATGTTTACATCTGTGAGTTTATAGTGACACTATAAAGAGAAAAACCCAGTTTCTAATTTCTTGATCCCTTCTCTGATAATTATTAGGGAGATTCAGAGTCAGAATTTAAAGGAGGGGCTGACACTGTGGTGTAGCAGGTAAAGCTACCGCCTTCAGTGCCAGCATCCCATATGGGCGCCAGTTCTAGTCCCGGCTGCTCCACTTCCGATAAGCTCTGTGCTGTGGCCTGGGAAAGCAGTAGAAGATGGCCTAATTCTAGGGTCCCTGCCCCCGTGGGAAACCCTAAAGAGGCTCCTGGCTTCAGATCTGTGCAGCTTCAGCCATTGAGGCCATCTGAAGAGTGGACCAGCAGATGAAAGACCTTTCTCTCTCTGCCTCTGCCTCTGTAGCTCTGCCTTTCAAATAAATCTTTAAAAAAAAAAAATTGAAAGGAGCTGCCAGGACGTAGGCATGGTGTGGAAGGCAGTGTGTTCTAGTCAGTAACTGTGCTCTGCCAGTGGCTCGTTAGACAGCTGCCAGGAGCCCTTTCCCTGTCCTGCATGGCTGCATGTGTGTCTGGGGGTGGGAGATGGGGAGGTCTTTACTGACAGGAAGCTGTATCACCTGTGCCTCTTCTCACTGTGCTAGAAGGTTTCACATATGATAGGAGATTTAATTTGTGTTGCTTCTAAATTTTAAAATTACACAGTAATACATGTGTGTTGATAAAACTGAAATATGAAAGAAGATGAAATATGCCCCATTGCCCATCCTTAGATGAAAACATAGAGGCTCCAGTTTTGTTGTCTTTCTTTCTTTTAAATTTACTTATTTATTTGAAAGGCATAGTGGCAGAGAGAGGGAGAGAGAAAGAGATCTTCTATCTGCTGGTTCACACCCCAGATGGCTGCAGTGGCCAGCGCTGGGCCAGACTGAAAAGCCAGGAGCCAGGAACTCCATTGTAGTCTCCCACGTGGGTGGCAGGGGCCCAAGTGCTTGGGCTATCCTCCACGGCTCTCCCAGGCACTGTAACAGGAAGTTGGATCTGAAACAGAGCAGCCAGAACTCAAACCGGCCCTCTGATATGGGCAACTGCACCACAGTGCTGGCCCCTCGGATTATTTTTTTCAATGTCACTGCTAGTTAACTGTTGATCAGAGGCTTGGCCCAAGATACTGACTCCAAGATACCCCTCTCTGAGATTGCTTGTCATTCCTTTTGTCTAGATAATCATGACGTCATTTCCTTGAAGTTGTTTGAACTGACAGTGGAGAGAACCCCAGAAGAGGAGAAGCTGCATCGAGATGTGTTCTTGCCCTCCGTGGACAACATGAAGCTGCCTGAGAGTGAGCACAGGGCATTCTGGGAAATGGCCCATGGGCAGGGAGGAGGTTGCGGTGATGTGTGAGGACTCACAGCTTGCAGGGCGCTGTCCTTGCACTGCACCTGCTTTTCCACTTGTCCTCATGTTACGCAGGCGCAGCAGGGGAAAAGGGAGCGTGTGAGCTCTGGCCCCCCAGAAGTGGGCGTCAGAGTCGGGACTGGCCGGCTTGTAGGTTGCTGCTGCACTGGAGGGCCCCCCATTTCTGACCTGCTTCTCTCTTGCTTCCTCAGTGACAGCCCCGCTGCCGCCCCTGAGTGGCCTGGCCCTCTTCCTCATCGTCTTCTTCTCTCTGGTGTTCTCCGTGTTTGCCATTGTCATTGGTATCATACTGTACAACAAATGGCAGGAACAGAGCCGAAAGCGCTTCTACTGAGCCCTCCTGCCACCGTCACGTCTGTGATTATCCCCGTGAGGTGTGGGGAGAGCAGGCACTGGCCTGGGCACGCAGCCTTGCAGGTCTTCCCCGGTCTCCAGCAGCGCTCAGGGCTATGTTCCGTCACTGGAGCTTCGGATGCAGGGATCCCGCGGCCCAGGGGTCACCCACTGAGACATCTGACTCTGGTCCAGGAAGCCACCCACCCCAGGGCAGTGCTGCTGTGATGTGCCTTTCCCTGCCGTCCCTCCACCTGGGGGAGAGGAGGCGTGGAGAGAACGTATGCTGTTCTGATGCGAAAACCACAGAACAGAATCTGATAGCCCGGGCCACCTTGGATTCCTAGGGCCTCTCTGCTTCACTTTTCAATCCATAAACAATAGAAAACTGGTAACTCGCATACCTTGTAAACATCCAGGCGTTGGTTTGCGTTTTGCCCGAGCTGTATCCACCTGAGGATCTGGACGGGAGCTTCTTCCCTGCCTCACCGTCCTCTCCTGCCGTTCATCATCCTCTCTGTGTGCAGCCTGAGCTGGGACAGACATTTGGATACCTCTCTGCTGGGGCCTGGGCTGCAGCGCAAACTGAGCCTTATTAGGGGCCCTGGGGATTTCTGCTTGGCTCACGGCTCCAGCTTCTGCTCTGTAGCAGGGGCTTAGGTCTGATGGCGTGTCTGCAACCTTTCTATTCAGATCTTCAGGTCTTCGGTCAAGGTTGGCTGGAATTCAGTGTGTGCATATCAATAAACTTGGAGGACTTTATGGATGCCATGAGATTAACTGTGAAACTGACCAGCTCCACATTTGACACTGAACGCAGCGTCAGTCATGTGGTCTGACCACGTGGAGATGTTTCAGGACGCCCTGGAGCCTGCCTAGCTGCATGCTGTGTGTTGATCATGATTTTCGGAATCCCGTTTGAGTGCTGAAGTGTAAGGAAGCTTTCTTCCTATCACCTGGGCTTGGACACTTCCCAAAGAGGAAACCTGGCTGCTTTTTTCTTGATGGAGAAGAAACCGCTGCTGTTGTCCTGTTGCAAGTCTGGGAGCAATAGATCCTCATCATCTGTGCCTGGAAGAGCTCGTGGTCATGGAACAACAAGCCCGAGTCCTCTGCGTGTCAGTCCTTACTCTACTGCCTTATCTGACAAGGGGTCACATGCTGCTCACGTGTCTGCCCTGTGATCAAATTGGTTATAGGCCAGAGTCTTCCTGGAGGGCCTGGAACTCTGAGCTCTCCTGTGGACCTCTAGCCCAATGGAAATTCTTAAAATGGCTGATGGAACCGAACATGAGCTTCTGAGTGAGTGTCCTTTCTTCTGGGGGGTGAGGTCAGGGACAGGCGCAGGCCCGTCTCCTGAGCCTCAAGCCCATCAACTCCTGCTGGGCCTTCTGGTTGGGAAAGCCCTCCACTCAGCCCGGAAGGGTGGGGGGAGCGTGGCTGCACACAGGGCTCTGGTCTCCTGTTTCCTAGGTGCTCAATCGAGCGGCACAGGCTGTCCTGCTGTCCCGCAGGTGGGACGGAGGTGGGGTGGAGAAAGAAGGCCTCCTCCTAATGACATCCTCACCATGACAGTGGCTCCAGGTGCCAGAGGACAAACTGGGCTCTACAGCTTGGCCTAGGACCAAGGAGACTGGTAGAAGAGATAGGTGTTTTGTGTATTTTGAGTTCAAGGGGAGATGGATTGGATCTTTGTGATGCGAGGACCTTTAAGGGCTCCTGAGATGGCCAAGGAAGGGGAGCAGGAAGAGAGGGTCTCATCCACCATAGGCGTGGGTTAAGAGGGATTGAACTTGGGGGTGCTTATATGATTCTAGCTCAAGAGCACATGAGGCCTTTTTTTTTTTTTTTTTTGACAGGCAGAGTTAGTGAGAAAGAGAGACAGAAAGGTCTTCCTTCTGCTGGGCCATCCCCCCAAATGGCCGCCACAGCCGGTGCACTGCACCAATCCAAAGCCAGGAGCCAGGTGCTTCCTCCTGGTCTCCCATGCGGGTGCAGGGGCCCAAGCACTTGGGCCATCCTCCACTGCCTTCCCGGGCCACAGCAGAGAACTGGACTGGAAGAAGAGCAGCCGGGACAGAACCGGTGCCCCAACCGGGACTAGAACCTGGAGTACCAGCGCCACAGGTGGAGGATTAGCCTAGTGAGCCACGGCACGGGTCTTTTTTTTTTTTTAAAAAAAAGGTATATTTATTTGAAAGGCAGAGAGACCTTCCATCTGCTGGTTCACTCCCCAGGTGTCCACAATTGCCAGTTCTGGGCCAGGCTGACACCAGGAACCAGAAACTTCATCTGAGTCTCCCACTTGAGTGCAGGGGCTCAAGCATTTGGGCCATCTCCTGCTGTTTTCCCAGGTGCATTAGCAGGGAGCCGGTTCAGAAGCAGAGCAGCCGGAACTCCAAGTGGCACTCTGATACAGGTTGCTGGTAGCAATGGCTTTACCCTCTGCACCACAGCACTGGCCCACACACGAGGAGTTTTTTGTTTTGTTTTGTTTTAGATTTATCATTTCAAAGACAAAGGTACACAGAGAGATCTTCCATCTACTGGTTCACTCCCCAGATGGCCACAATGGCCAGGACTGGGTCAGGCTGAAGCCAGGAGTTAGATCCGTGTCGCCCACATGGGTGCAGGGGCCCAGGCACTTGGGCCATCTTGCACTGCTTTTTTCTAGGCCAATAGCTGGGAGCTGGATCAGAAGTGGAGCAACGGGGAAACAAACCGGCACCCATATGGGAAGCCGGCATCCTACAGTGCCAGCCCCACATGAAGCATTTTAAAGAGGGAGGGGAAGAATGGAACCACCGCTCAGCCCGACCTAGCATTACATGTCCTGCCACAGTTCCTGCATTTTGTTCCAGAAAAAGGTTCTCTTGTGAATGGGGGTGAACAGTGTTCTGGGAGCTGTACTTCTGGGTCTGTGCTGGAGGGAGGAGGTGCCCGGGCGGCCGTGTGGCTCTTCCGTGCACACAGTGGATGGATTCCGTGCACCCCCATGAGCCCCTGTGGACCAGAGGAAGTGTGTAAAGTGAGACCATTCCCCATCCCCGAGTCTGGTCTGGAGGGCTGGCGCTTTCAGCCTTTCCTGTCGTCTTCACCCCCAAATTACAAGATGGCGTCTGTCAGGAAGCTTGTTTATTTCAGTGGAAAATTACAGCCCTGCTCGTGGGGCAGCGGTTCCTGAGCACAGTAGCCAGAATACCCCTAGCCTCTTCGAGTGCCCTGGGAGACAGAAACAGGGAGTGGGTAGGAAGTCTGGGGGTGGGCCGATAGTGAGCAGGAGGAAAGGCAGGTAAATCAGTGAATTAGTCTCCTGTGTCTGGGAGCTCTGGGAAAATGTCATCCATCTGATTCTTGGGTTCCTGGACGAGTTGCCACTCCTGGTCTGTTGTATCCACTAGGACTGGTTTCTCAGTGATGAGGAGGGTGGAGCTGGCATTGCTGGTGTTTGGTGAACTGATGACATTGACTATTTTAATGGGAGGATACAGCCGCATTTCAGGTTTGATCCAGTTCATGGCTAAATAGTTCTAGAAAGGACAATCGAGTTGGCCTGCGGTAGCAGCCGGGAGGGGCTGTCCTCGGCCAGCCCGAGAACCAGCGCCTTTGTCCCTGTACCCTTGGTTGCCACTCACCGGAGCCGAGTAGATAAAGTGGAACAGCAAGAGCACCATGACCAATATGACTGACAAGGCTATGATTTTGTAGCGGTAACGTTTCCAGAAAACAATGCAGAAGTTTTGAATAGGTGATCGCAACCACGAGAAAGTGGCATCGGGACGTCTGTGCGTGAGCAGAGGAGGTATCAGGGGGGAAGGGAGGGCAGAACTCGCAAAGGCGAGCTTTGCTTTTTCAAAAGGCAGCGTGGTGTCCCCCCGGCCCCCGCCCTAGTCTGCCCCCTCCAGGTGGCAGCAGCAGCAGTGAGTGGCGTGGTGGGAAGCAGTTACCCTGCTCTGCTTGTAGGCCCGCAGGCCACCACCCCATGCAAACAGCAGGGGCCTTACAGGGGAGGGTGGAGTGTAGGGTACTGGTTGGGCTCTGACTGGCCTCGCCCCGCCGGCTTGATTAAGGCTTCCTTCTGTGACAGGATCTCCAGAGTCATCTTCACTTTGCCCTGGGAACATCACCGGTGGAGGGAGGCGAGGGAGGATTAGGACTTCTTCCCGGGATCCAGAGGGGAAAGGGGTGTCGCTAAGGTTCCCAGCGGTCTGTTAGAGCCAGGTTATATGGCACAGCAGTCCTATGCCACAGACACCTTCCCCAGCTCTTACCGACTGGTGCCACTTGTCTCCATCGAGGACCTGGAAAGGCCACCAGCCCGTGACAATCTTCTTCTTGAAGAGGGAGAAGCGCTTGTGCTGAAGGAACTGGGGCCACTTGGGGTCCGGGTCCATCATCCTGAGGGAGCACTGCTTGGCGCTCGGGGCTGGGAAGGGCATGTCGGACAGATCCAGCTCCAGGACCCCTGCGCCGGGAGAAACAGCATCAACAAGGAGCCCCCCGTCCCGGGGCCACGGTCCCTGGGCCTGGACCTCACCTAGGAAGTCGTCACTGGTGAACGTATCATTGTCCCAGACCTGGATGATGAGCCGGGCCGGCAACTTCATTGACGTGGGGTCCAGGCTCCATATGTAATCCTGGGTGGTGGCAGGACAGCGTGTTACTGGCCTCTTTGAGGTCTCTGGTGGACCCTAAGTAGCCCACTACCCTGCAGTGTAGACTGTCCAGGAAGAGGGTTTCCACCTGAGGGCCGGGTCCTAGTGTCCTGTTCAGCTGGCAGGTCCCTGAGGCAGGGCGCCCGGGAAGGGCCCGTTACCTTCTCGCTCTGGACGCACATACACTCTGCAGCCAGGTAGTCCATGGTGAAGATGAACCGCCAGTTGAAGTTGCCCTCACCGGTTATGGAGTGGTAGTGGATATCCGTCTTCTGCATGTCCTTCTCCATCCCGAACAGCCACCTGTGGCCACAGTCCTTTCAGCCGTGGCTCCCGTGTGTGGTCCCCATTCCCACCAGGCACAGGTCGGTGGTGGAGAGGTGGCCCCAGCAGGACCCCAGGGGCTGGCCCGCCTCACCCTTTGACGTAGATGTCACTCATCTTCTCTCTGGTCAGTGACTCGTCCACCAGGTCCACGCTGGCGGTCTTCCAGATGATGCACCGCAGCTCGTACCTGCGGCCGCCGCGCGCTGAGGCTCTGCCGAGGACTGGCGCCCCAGCTGCAGCCTCGGGAAGGGGACACGGGCGGGGGCTGCCCTCCGGGCTCTGGCTGAACTCAGGGGCTTCAGGGGAGGGAAGCTGCCCGAGGAGCCTCCTCTAGTCCCAGCAGAGAAAGAATTACTGCAGCTCAGCACTGAGCCCAGAGGCGTCCTGGGAGAGTGGAGCTGTGGGACGCGGGGATGGGACAATGGCTGCCACTCACCATTTAGGCTTTCTGGGGCTGATGTCGACTTGGGGGCCTGGAGGCCCCAGCTTCTTGGGGAAGATGTCCACCCACAGTTGCACCTTTCCCTAGGGCCAGGACGGGTTAGGTGCTTGGATGTTGCCAGCCTCTGTTCTCAGCAGGCTGGCCCCGGGGGACCCTGGCCCAGGTTCTGAGGTCTCCTGAGGGTGTGTTCCTGACACTGGGGGGCGGGGATGACCACCCACCAGCTGCCTTCTTTTCCCCTGTTTGTGGCTGGGAGAACAGAGCAGTGAGGTTGGGTATGACTGGGCCGTTACTTATGGAGCAGCTTGCAGCCCTGAGTGAGAGGGGACTGCACGATTTCTAGGAGATTTCGTTGCGTGAGCACAACCTGAGGAGAGGAGGTCAGTGCAGAGGTCTGAGAAGGAAGAGAAGATGTACATGGTGCACCAGGGGCAGGCTACCGGCGCTGAAAAGAATCACGTCCTGTCTTCCAAACAACCAGAGCTAGTTTTAAGTTCTGCTCTTTGGAAACTGTGCTTAAGAAAAGTGATTTCATGAGAAGGATTTTTAAAAGCCACTCAACATGGGGCCACCGCCGTGGCATATCGGGTTAAGCTGCCGCCTGCAGTGCCGGCATCCCATACGAGCACCAGTTCGAGTCCCGGTTGCTCTACTTCCGATCCAGCTCTCTGCTGTGGCCTGGGAAAGCAGTAGAAGATGGCCCAAGTGCTTGGGCCCCTACATCCGCGTGGGAGACCGGGAAGAAGCACTTGGCTCCTGGCTTCAGATCGGCACAGCTCTGGCCGTTGTGGCCATCTGAGGAGTGAACCAGTGGATGGGAGACTACCCCGCCCCTGCACGCCTCTCTGTAACTCTGCCTTTCAAATAAATAAATAAAGCTTAAAAAAACACACACACACACACAAAAAACCGCTCAACAGAGATGAGAAGAATGAGCGGAGCCATTCTGGGGGCTGGAGGATAGGTGGTAATTAGACTGCCTTTGGGGATTTTCACTCCTGCGTTTGGGGTTCCTCACCCTGGAGAAGACAGCCTGCAATGAAGGGCCAGTGCCAGGGCTGTAATGTCTGCACTGACCCCGAGGGGCCACCTCCCACCCCTTGGGAGAGACCAAGGCGATGGACGCGGTGCTGGGTAGGGCTCCTTAGCACCTCCCACGTGGCCTGGTGGCCTCCATTTCTTGTCAATGGGTTTTCCAGCTCTGAAATTTGCTAAGTGACATAAATGGAACTTCGTGCTTATTGATGTGCAAAACATGCCCATCTTCTGTGCATGCGTGTACCTGAATGCTTGGCCCACCCCCCATGTCCTGGGTGGGGGGGTACCCCAGCTCCTGGTCCAGCCCTCCTACCAGAGCTGAGAGTGGCCGTTTCAGTCTCAAACCTGGTCAATGCCCGGCTGGCTCTCATTGTACAGTGTGCGGGTCTCTACGTGCTCAGGGACCAGCCCCTGGGTGTGCAGGATGTACAGTGCCAGGCGTTCTTTCTTGGGTCCCAAACCAGGCACGTGAAGGGGCTTGGGCTCTGTATGGGGGAGGGAAGAAAGGAGAGGGTCCTAGGTCATGAGCCGCCCTCCCCAGGCCTGAGGGGTGGACTCGGTGCCTTCTATGGGAGGAGATGGGAGAGGATGGGCTGCCCTCGGGCTCAGGAGAGCTCTTTCTGGTCCTGCCCACCCTTGTGTCGTGGTGCCGAGACCTGTGTCTGAGCTTCTCACCAAAGCTTTCCAGCTTGAATTTTTCCCCGTTGTATAAGACAGAGTCTTCCTCAGGGCTGTACAAAGGCGGAGGCAGCCCTTTCTGCTTGGCACGGCGCTCCAGGAGGTAGCTGGGGGGCATCTGATCCCGCCAACGGAAGGGCCCTGTCCTGGGAGGATGTGTGAAAGGCAGGCCCTGGGTCCCAGCCTCCCCCGTGGGAGCTGTGGGCTCACCCCACCCCTCCCCCACACGCTTGTCCTGCCCTGGCCCCCACTCACTGGCAGTAGGATTTGGAGAGCCCACAGCGAGCTTCAAAGCCAGACAGGAGTCGGTTCTCCAGGTCGATGACTGTGGTTCCGATCTCATCATCGGCTGAAACGAGGTCAAAGTCATACAGCTGGATCTCCAGGTCCTTCTCCAGGGGAATGTTGCAGGTGAGCTCAAACATCCTGGAGGTGAAAGCGTGGGCCACGTGGTCTCCATGCCGCCCTCGCCACTGTCTGCCCCCTTGTTCATTCGTGGTGAGTAAGAACAGAGCACGGGATGGGCTGCTTCCTGCCAACAGCCGTCCCCTGCTTGTAGCTGAACTTGAGAGAGGGTGGAACTGGACCACCTTTCGGTGCATCTCCCGCCTGTTGGGGCACCAAGTGTATCTAAGGCGCCAGGCTAGGAATTTGCAGGCTGCAAAGCAGAGCAGGGGCCCATGTGCTGGAGCTGACGCCCAGCGAGGTGTGCACAGGCGGAGGGGACTAGCGAGTCAGAGCAACTCACGTGCCGAAGATGGGATCCAGAGTGTTGGGCCGGTAAGAGTCCCGGCTGCCAAGCTTTGTCTCCCCCAGCTTCACCATCACGTAAGGGTCACACTGCGGATCAGATAGGACGGGGAGTTGGCCCAGCCTGGCCAGGGACGGGGCACCATGGGGGCAGAAATGAGCCCTCGGCACCACATGGAGTGCGGGGGCAGCCAGCATTTGGGTGTGAGCAGACTGAGGGAACTCTGGGAAGGCTGGGGTTCGGGGCAGGGGGTGGGGGCGGCACCGGAGCTGGGCCGGGCTGCTCTTTACCAGGCCGTTGTAGTCCTGGGGCTGCAGGTTGATGCCTCGCACCACATACACCCGCACCAAGCACTGCTGAGGGAAGTCCTCTCTACTGGGCCACACCAAGAACTGGCGCGGGGGCTTGGGGGCCTCTGGATTCTCAGGAAAGGGGTAGATGCGGAAAAGGCCCTGTGGGACGAGGGGGCGTTAGGGACCCAGCCTGGCAGCGTAAAGCCCTCCGGGACGTGCTGCTGGCCAGAATTCCGGAGGGAGGGAGCTGGGCAGAGGATGCGGGGGGCAGAACTGGGGGGACAGGAGTGGCAGGTGCAGCACAGGTGTCCCGCAGGGACCGCCGAGTTTATGAGGGGTGCTGGGGAAAGGGACCCAAACCCAGATGGTTTAGGTGACTTCGTGGTTTCTGCTGATGGGAACTCACTCTGCCCCAACCGTTCCTTCAGGTTTAAACTTGTTCTCTAAGGCTCCGCAGCCTTGGGAGACAGGGGAGGCCAGAGCTGGGAACGACAGGGCCCTCCCTCTTCCTGGGGAAGGGGGGTCTCTCTGGTCCCCGTGTAGACTAATCTCTGCTCCTCCACTCCCAAAGCTTCCTCAGGTCTTCCCAACCAGATCCTTACAATGAGCACGTCGAGCCAGGGCTTTATATTAGGGTCTTCCGGGGGCTGAAGGGGCACAGGGAGACGGGCAGCTGAGCTGGGGTAGCCGGACACACACCTTGAACTCCCCTACCACAGGGCTATCCACTTTGGGCTGCTCCTGGTAGAGTTTAAAGGTCTGGCAGAAGTCCTGGAGGCCTTGGAAGGCTGGCACGGCCTCCAGCTCACAATCATACACCTGTGCAGGGGGGAGGGGTCCCGGCTGGTGGGGAGACCATTCCTGGAATCAAGAGAGGCTTTCTCCAAAGCATCTGCCCGGCCGGCCCGGCAGGCAGCACCGCCTGCTGCAGACTAGGTGGGTAGTGCATTGTCTCCCGGGAGACGATGTAGAAGTCGCGCCCTCCCCCCTAACTTGGCCTTCCTGGAGGAATCAAGGCTGGCTTGGCCGGCTGTCCCAGCAGGAGGTTGCATCCCATCCCTCCCAGCATCCTCCCCTCCTGGGGGCCTCCAAACCTTTATGGTGAAGTAATCTTTGTACTTGTACTTCAGGGACTTGTCATCCGCCGTGGCCCAGAAGAGCTTGCTCCACCAATCCACCTCGTGCTCAAATTCATCCTGGCAGGGGAGAGGGGGAATGCTGGCCCCACCCCTACCCCAGGCAGAAGCCCCCCCCCCCCCACCTCCCTAAACTGACAGGTGGTTCCTTGTCCCTGGGATTGAGCCTACTTCACCTCGGCTTTGCTGGACTTGTACCAGAACTTTCTGTAGAGGTGCTCTAGGATCTGAAAAGTAGAAGGTGAGCAAGGTGTGCCCAGGCAGCTGGGGCTCCTCACACATCACTGGCCCAGACCTGGAGAGGAGGGGAGTCAAGGCTGGGGCTCACCTCCCTCCTGCCCTTCACGAGGGCCTTTTAATATAGGGCTCTTAGAATAGGATTGGGGGTGGGGCCCACACTGTAGTGGGCTAAGCCTCCGCCTCTAGTCCCGGCTGCTCCTCTTCCGATCCAGCTGTCTGCTATGGCCTGGGAAAGCAGCGGAAAATGGCCCGAGTCCTTGGGTCCCTACACCCGTGTGGGAGACCCAGAAGAAGCTCTTGGCTCCTGGCTTTGGATCGGCTCAGCTTCAGCTGTTGCAGCTATTTGGGGGGTGAACCAGCGGATGGAAGACTTCTCTCTCTGTTTCTCTCCTCTCTCTCTGTGACTCTACTTCTCAAATAAATGAATAAATAAAATCTTAAAAAAAAAACACACACACACACACAGGATCAGGGCAAAAAGGAAAAAGTGTGGTTTTCAGTCTTCAGACTGGACTCAAAGGGGCTCGGAAATGCAGACCCTCGAGCCCCGCCCTGACCTGCTGCGTGGTTGTTGATGCTGTTGGGAGCACTCCTGTGGGGGGCCAGGCTGAGACACACTGTGGGGGGCTGGGCTGAGACATACTGCTTCAGTGTCCCCGCTACAGTTAGGTAGGGCTCTGCCCATGGATGCCACAGGTACCAGGCAAGGGTGAAGGAGAAGGCAGGGCCCCAGGCTGAACTCACCTCCTGGTGGTACTTCCTCTCGGCCAGCGCTGCGTGGAGAGAGTGCCATGGGAGTCTCGGGAGGAGGCGGAGGAGGAGGGACGCCAACCCCAAGGGGAGGCAGGGCTGTGCCCCACACCCGGCAGGGACTTATCGCAGAGGCCTGGGGAAGGGCGAGGAGCCAGGGCCGTACTTGGCAGCTGCGGGGGGACGTAGTCCTGAGCCCAGGGGTCACAGAAATAAGGCTGGAGGAAGTCGATGTTGGCCTGGCCCACCACGGTCTGCTGGCCATAGTCCTGATTGTCCACCACCTTCACCGTGAGGGGCAACGCGAAGGCTTCCTCTGTGGGCATGAGCTGCGGCCCAGCGAGGGGCAGGGAGCGTGAGCCCCGGCCCTAACCACAGGGACGGCCCCTCCCTCCACCCTGGCGCCGGGCCTCTTACCACCATGAGAAAGAGGATGGGCTCGGGGAAGTTGGGGTTGGTCTGGAAGTCTTGGATGGGCTCTGTTTTTAGGGACTCTTCCCCACACTCCACCAGGAGCTGGGGGTAGCGCACCTTCTTCATGCCCCGAAGGCCCCAGGCCAGGATCTGCCAGAACAGAGGAGCACAGGGCCACGGGAGGCAAGCGCCTCAGGAACGGGGTCCCGGCCCAGGCACGGGACACCGGCCAGGGGATCGCGGTACAGCCGGGAGCATGCAGGGCCAAACGATGAGGCCAAGCCCCCCCACCCCGGCTCGCTCACTCTGGGTTCATCAGGCCTGGAGGCTGTCCTGCCTTGTGAGAGGCGCCCTCTAGACTGGCCCGTCCTCGCCTGCTGCCTCGCCTGACCTCCTGTCCATTCTCAGGTGGGAGTTCTTGGGGCTGGCTGCCTCTGAGGGCCCAGCCCTCCTCTCCGTGGGTCAGTGACTCAGTCACCCCATGGATGTGCAGCCTGCGGTTTCCCTCTCATCCGACCCACACTGGGCACCCCAGGAAACATCCAGGCCCTTATTCCTGAAGGCCTCCTTGGGAGCTTAGAACAGACACCGCTGGGACATCTGGGGAGGCCTGCCGAGAGCCTGAGTGAGCGTCCTTTGCCAACTGCATGGCTTCCAACATGAAGCCTTCGGTGCTACACTCAGAAGAGAGGTGCAAAACATCCCGGTGTTCAGAGCCAGGCAGCACTGGGTCTAAATGCCACTGTCACTTAGTCCCTGTGTGGGATTTTTGTGTGTGTGTGTGTGTGTGTGTGTGTGTCTCTTGGAGCCTCTTACAGTCTGTGCCTTGGAGTTTCTCTCTCTCAAAAGCAGTCCCCACTGCATGTGGCAGCATGAGACTCAAATGTGGTAAACGCTCCTCGGTCCTTGGTCTACCGCCCCCTGCGGGGATTTGCAGTGAGACCACTGACAATGCCAGAGCCCCTGTCCACTTCTCCCTGGCCTCCCCCATCTCCCAGAGAGCATCTTCTTGGGCTAGGGGGTCAGGAAGGCCTGGAAGAGCTCCAGGACACTGCAGGCTGTTCTGGGTGGTGCTTGGGCCCCACCGAGCCTCTCACCACCCGCACCTCGATGGCCATCTTCCTCTGCGTGGGCTGGATGCTCCTGGGCAGTGTGTAGACCCCGTTCTTCCAGGGGACACTTAGGATCGGCAGCTGCTTCTCTCTCAGCTTCTGGAGGGGAGGGGGGGGCGAGCAGGGAGCATGAGGCCCCCGTCCCCAACTGAAGCAGGTTCCTCAGAGGGCTCAGCTGGGCTAGAGCTGGCTGGGGGAGGGGCTGAGTAGGTGGCATCACTGAGCCAGGGTCTGGTTTCTGGTCCCCAGGTCTTTCCTGAGGGACGCCTGGGGCGGGGGTGACCAGGGAGTGGGCACCGAGCACTCCCCTCCCCAGCCAGGCCCTGTTACCCAGTACCTCCGTCTCCAGGATCAGCTCGCAGGATGCCAAGATCTCACCCTCTTCCTCCCCCAAGTCTTTCACAAGTGGGTGCCACCTCAGAGGGGGCAGGATCCGGTCTTGGAGATCCAGCCAGACCACCGGGGGCCATATGCTCCGTCCCCACAAGGTCTCCTTGCCCTGGGGGAGAGGGGGACACATTCACACAGCATGGCAGCCAAGCCAGCAGGGGGCCAGCTCCTTGCCCACACTTCTGCCCAGCACAGGGCAGCACCCAATATTCTATTTGCACAGTGCCCTCTGCACGCCCGGCCTCCCTCTAACGTGCCAGCCCCGCAGCGGCAAGGCCAGGAGGGTCCTTGGCCACCTTACCTGGGAGTCGCGTTGCCACAGTTCCAGCACCAGGAGCGGTGGGCTCTCTTTGGTGTCCTGGGGGTTCTCGTACAGGAGCAGATGCTGGAAGATGAGTGTCTGGGCCCAGATCGGGGCTGCGGAGCTGCCTGCGGCTTGGGTGCGCTGGCTGTGGTTTAAGAAGATCACCCGAATGAAGGGCCCTGGGGAGGGGCGGGGCAGGGACTTGCGTCTTGGAGCTGTCAAGCGAGGCTCCTGTGGTAGCAGCTGTGGTAGCTGCTGGGCCAGGGGCCCCCGAGGCCCAGGCCAGGCCCCACGGCCAAGTCCTCACAGACGCCGTGGAGTTCCGTCTGTGCACACTTCATTCACACCTACCACCCTGAGACACGGGCTTCACCCAGACGGATGCCAGAGCCCCTCTGGACGAGCTGTGGGGAGGAGGGTCTGGGCTGCTGCCCCTCCACAGCGGCAGTGAGTGGGCGGGCCTCTTGCTATGGGTGGCAATGACCAAGGGACACAGTCCCAGGAGACATCCTTGGAGCTCCCACACCCACTACGCTGGCTCCTACAAGCAGTGCCAGGCTGGGGCACGCGAATCCCCCCCACCTGAAGGCTTCATGGGTCTCCCCCATGGGCCCCTCCCTGCTCTTCCTCTTGTGTTCAACCACCGGTGACACGTGGCTCCCAAGCACGACTTGTCTTCTTGTCTCATCGGTACTCTACCCTTCAGGGCTCTGTGCAATGGTCACCTAAGCCCGCTCAGTGCCCCTTTCTAACTCCACAGCACCAGGATCTTTGATTTTGTATGTTTTCCCCAAGCCTGGGCCATAAGCTGCTTTAGAGAGGGGTCCGTGTCTTTGTCATAGCCCCCCATTTCCTTGCCACATGCACTGCCCTGCTGGGTAGCCACGTTGCCAGGCCCCAGGGTGGGGGATGGAGGACAAGGGCCAGTCCTACCTTGGAATGTCAGAATCTGGTTGGACAGCAGGTTCCGGGCCTGGTAGATGTAGCAGAGGAGCTGGTAGTAGTGGGGCTCTGAGTAGAGAGGGGCCCCAGCTGTCGTGTGTCCCCGGGATCCCTGCACTCCTGCCCACTCCCTCAGGGCCACCCGTGCGGACTCCCAGCTCAGCGCTCACTGTTGATCAGGCAGTAGATGAAGGGCATGTTGGCAGGCGGGGATTCCTCGGGGCGGTCCCTCCAGGAGTTTCTGAACTGACCCCACACCCCTGGCTTTTCCTCTTCCTTCTTGTAATTTAACTTCAGATCCCTCACCTGCACCCAGAAAGGCCCCCACTGACGCTCTTGTGCCCAGGACCCCCTCTGCCTTCACAGGCGCCACCCTCCCAAGCTGGTGCCCAGTCCTCCCCCTGCCCACACTCCTGGGGCCACGCCCTGGCTTCTGGGGGTGGGGCTGGAGGCCGGCATCCCCTCGTGTGCTGTCTGCTGAGCTTTTACCAAAGAGCCCTCCAGGAGGAAGATAGGCGCGATGCCTTTGTCGTGGTTGGGCACCAGCCTGCGGTGCCAGCAGCGGCGGCGGAACTTGCTGTGGGGCTGCGGGTCCAGGTGGAACTTGGAGCCAAAGGTGCCGTACTCCCAGCCCTCGTCCTCCTTGGCCAGGCCCTGCTGTGGGGAGGAAAGCAGGGCTGTGTTCCCGCAGAGGCTCCGAAGCAGCTCCTGCCCTGGGTTCCCCAGCCGGAAGCCCCGCACCTGCTGCAGGAAGGAGAGGGTCTCCTGCTCCTGGCTCGGCTTCTCCGGGTCCCGGAAGCGCAGACGCACCCAGCGCCTGCGCCGTCGCGAGTGGTAGGTCTTCTCCACCGAGCTCCAGACCCGGGGCATGCCCGAGGGCGGGATCCCCACTCCATACTCCCAGCCTGCAGGGTCGGACCATGGCCTCTGAGTCCCAGGGGCCTGCAGGCCAGGAGGCATGGGTAAGCCAGGAAGGTGGGTCCCAGAGGGGCGGTGCTTTCTCTCGGGGTAGGTGGACGTGATCACACTGGGTCACCACGATGGCCTGGGCCTGACTGCCCAGCACACAAACGAGGGATGGTGAGGCTCGGTGGTGCCCCACCACCCACACAGGACCACACAGCTCTGAGCAGAACTCGGGTCCTGAGCCCAAGCCTTCAGATTCCCAGCCCATTGCTCCTTCTCTGGGTGGATTCAGGCTCCAGGGCCAAATCCGCGTTCACGGGCATCGGTTAAGTCTTGCTCTGGGCCAGGCCTGCAGATGGACTTGGAGCACTAAGGCCCCCAGGAGGGTGGAGGCCCAGCTGTCTAGGGGCTGGGGGCCTGCAGGAACACGGGCCCATGCCACCTGCAGGCTTTACTGCTCCGTAGCAGTGGGAAGGTGGGGACCCCCCCGCCTGCCCAGAATTCCCCCGGCAGCTGTGGTCATGCTGAGGTCCCAGGCCCTCCTGCCCTCAGCCCTGAGGCAGAGGACTGACCCTCACTGTCCACCGCGTGGTTCAGTTCCACAGTCCAGTTCTTCTTAAAGTGCCAGCCTGGGGGGCACTTCACATTCTCCCGGGCCTCCACAGGCTGTCCATCCTGGGGGGACAGAGAGGGCAAGGCCAAGGGCCATGAGCGGGTTAGGGGCTTCCCTAACTCACTTCCCACACACTGGTTCATCTACCGCCTGTGGCCTTGGTGGTCTCCCACCCTGTGAGCACTTGCTACATCTGATGTCACCCAAGCAGTTACCTAATATGCCTTCATGACTTGCCCGTTTGGACTGTAAAGTGCTCCCTCCTTGTTGAAAAGGCCGGCGCTGTGCCATAGGGGTTAAGCTGCTGCCTGCAACACCGGCGTCCCAAATGGGCGCCAGTTCAAGTCTCAAGCTGCTCCACTTCCCTATCCAGCTCCCTGCTAATGCGCCTGGGAAAGCAGCGGAGGATGGCCCAAGTGCTTCGACCCCTACACCCATGTAGGAGACCCGGATGAAGCTCCTGGCTCCTGGCTTCAGCCTGGCTCAGCCCTGGTCATTGTGAACATTTGAGGAGTGATGGAAGATCTCTCTCTCTCTCTCTCTCTCTCTCTCTCTCTCTGTCTTTCCCTCTCTCTCTCTCTGTAACTCTAGCTTTCAAATGAATAAAATAAATCTGTGAAAAAAGAGAAAGGAGAGGCTAGCACACATTGGTGATGGGTTAGTACTTTCCAATGCAGTGGCCCCCAGCCACCTGGGCCTGCTTATGTTTAAGTTACTTAAAATGAAACACAAGTCAAAGTCCAGTTCCTCCTTGTTGCCAGCACCACATCAGTGCTCAACACAGAGCGCGTCCATCATCACAGCCATTCCTGCGGGACAGTGTGCCTCAGGGCCCAGACTCTCCTTCAGGCCAAGCACTGCCCTTGAAGGAAGCCTACAAAGGTATTGCTGCCTCCCACCGTGGTTTCTCTTCCTTTTTCACTTTTAAAAATTTATTTTATTTATTTGAAAGGTAGAGACAGACAGAAATCTCCCAACTGCTGGTTCACTCCCCAAATGCCTACAATGGCTGGGGTTAGGCCAGGCCACAGCCCGAGCCCAGAACTCAATGTGGGTCTACCGTATGGGTGTCAGGAACCCAACTCCTTGAGCCATCACCAGCTGCATCCCTGGGTGCGCATTGGCAGGAGTCAGGATTGGAACCCAGGCACTCTGGATCTGGGCATCCCAAGCAGCATCTTAACCACTGTGCTATTCCCCCCGCCCCTCTTTTTTTTTTTTTTTTTTTTTGACAGGCAGAGTGGATAGAGAGAGAGAGAGAGAGAGAGACAGAGAGAAAGGTCTTCCTTTTGCCGTTGGTTCACCCTCCAATGGCCGCCACGGCTGGCGCGCTGCGGCCGGCGTACCGCACTGATCCGATGGCAGGAGCCAGGTGCTTCTCCTGGTCTCCCATGGGGTGCAGGGCCCAAGCACTCGGGCCATCCTCCACTGCACTCCCTGGCCACAGCAGAGAGCTGGCCTGGAAGAGGGGCAACCGGGACAGAATCCGGCACCCCGACTGGGACTAGAACCCGGTGTGCCGGCGCCACTAGGTGGAGGATTAGCCTATTGAGCCGTGGCGCCAGCCCCCCCACCCCCACCCCTCTTACTGTCCCATTTAAGGTATCTCTGGGCTGCATCTGGGACTCTCCAGTGCTAGGACTAGGTGCCTGCAGATGGACGCACTCCCCAGGGGTCCCACAGCATTAGGGGGGCAGGAGCAGGGCTCAGCTCATAGCTCTTTTCACTGGGTCATGCCGGTTTCCAAGTCTCCCCACCTGGCTGTGTCTCTCTCTCCCTCCCCTGTGGGCGGGGGTGCCTGAGGCAGCTTCAGCCCTACTCACCAAATCTGTGTTCGGGATTTCTGCAGGAACCCAGGCGCCTGTGGCATCGCGGTCCTGGTTCTCATATACTTCCTCCAGCACCTGGCTCTTGTTGATGTCTGTGTCCAAGAGGAGCCTGGGGGCAGCAAGACTCCGAGTTCCCAGCACATCTCGCTGAACTTACTGGCCCTGGGGCATCCACTGCTGGCACCCCACTGGCCTGGCATCCAGGCAAAGGAGACACCAAGGGCCATCTGCCGTGAGCACCCCCACCCACAGGGACCAGGCCCGTGACTCTGCCCACTCTAGGCTGTTGTGGACTGGCCCTCCTGGGTGACAGGCAGTGTCACCCGCAGTGTGGCATTCCCCGGGGGGCATGGGGCTCAGGGACTGCACACCCAACCTTACCTCCTCTGAGGCTCTATTTTCCAGTTGTCTTGCCAGTGCCATCCTATGGGTGCCTTGAAATCCGTCTTGGGGAGGGCCTTGTGCCCGGTGACGTCTGAGAAGTTGGGGCATCGGTGCAGCCCCTGCGGCCCCCACTGGTCTTTATACTTGGCCTGATTCTCATACTGGGGGCGGGGAGGCAGTCAGACGATGGCTAGTCACCAGGGACCCCGAGCTCACAGCATCTAGCCTGCTGCGTCCAGCAGACCCCTCCACCTTCAGAGCCGGCCTTTCAGAGCCACACCCTGGCTCCCTGCGCTCCGGGCTCTGTGGGGGCCAGCCTTGGGGAAGCACTCACCGTCTCGGCATACACCACTATGCTGCCCTGGCGGGGCAGCTGCATGTGCTGGCTGTCCGTGACGTTCCCGAGCCACATGCAGACTCGGAGGTGGGCTGGGACCGTGTCCTTCTCTCCTTCTCCCTCTGGGTACTGAGCCAGAAGCAGGTCAGTGTCTCAGGGGGCGCCAGTGCACCGGGGCAAGGGGGGGGGGGCATGCGCACCTGGAGTAGCTCACACCGAGTTTTGCCTGCCAGCGTGTGAGATGCCAGGCAGATGCTTCGACCCTGAGACCCCGTGTGTGTCAGGGAGGTATGGGAGGGCTGGGGCAAAGGACAATGCAAGGCTTCACGGGGCGGGGGTGCGGGGCGGCGATACCAGTGATGTGGTTAAGACCGGAGATCATTCGCTCAATGCTGGCAAGGACCGGCACCGAGCCAAGCACTGTATCATCACACCCTGCCATGAGGCGGGCACCGTTAGCACCAGGCCCGATCGAAGGTGGCGCCAGGGTCTCTCAAGCCAGGATTCGAGTTTCAGTGGTCCTTGCAGGATGAGCAGGACTCACAAGGAGCAGGGGAGGCCTTGTGCGACAGTGAGAAAGCGAAGGACAGGCATAATGTGGCCAGGAACCCAGGGTGGCCAGGGAGGGTTGGGGCATCGAGGGATGCCCGAGGGGCAACCAGGCCTGGGAGGGGTGCACCTTCTCCAGGAAGCAATGGGAGCACAGAGTGTCTCTGAGGATGGAGGGAAGGCACCCCGCCTCCCAGGAAGCAGGCAGACTGTGATCAGGGCCGGGCGGTGTTCAGAGTCCCCAGGCAGTCTTATTTATAGCTTGCAGCATCTGCTACCAGGGGCCTGTGGCCACACCGCATAGGCAGGAAACACCTTGGAGGCCACACAGTCACTGGCCAGGCAGAGATGGCAAGGGATGGGGCCACATGGTGGCCACAAGAATGACGGAGATGGACTTGAGGAACGTGTGTGAAGGACATGGACTTGGCGCCAACCCATGTGCAGCCACAGACCCCTGCCTTCGTCTAGGTTCTACCTAAACCCCATCTGCCCCATAAAGGGCCAGGAGAGAAAGAGCCCATGCCCTCGGGGAGGCTCCCTCAGGGCCTTCCCTGGGGAGTTCAGGGCCCTGTTCTCCCCCTCCCCCCGAGGACTCCCTGCTCCCCACCTGCAGCAGCAGGGACTGGATCTTGCCACAGAAGCGGCCGGAGTGCAGGCTCCCTGCTGGGGAGAACAGGATGGTGTGGGCAGGCACCCGTGCGTAGGCCACTCGCTGCTCCCTGGCCATCAGCCAGATCATCACGTCCGGGAAGCCCATCTGGGGCTGTGGGGCGGGAGGAGGTCAGGCCTGCGTGGCCAGCTCCCAGCCCCGCACCGCGGCAGCTGGCGAGGCCGGCACCCACCTCGGGGAGCACAGCGTCGAGGCGGTGCAGCCAGCCCTCCACCGTGGCCACCATGTCCCTTGGCTTGGCGTTCTTGGCCTTCTCGGCCAGTTCCTTCAGGAGGAGGTTCCGGAGCTGCCACTTCTCCTTGTCTAGGATGTTGGCTTTGGGCTGATCGGTCATGCAGGGCAGAGGGCGCCTGGGGCAGGACAGGCGGCAGTGGGCTGGACCCCTCCTCCACCTGCCAACCTCAGGTCCTGCCGTGGCCAGTGTGTCCCTCCTAGCCCTGAGATGGTGTTCCAGGTGCTGCTGGCCAGGCCTGGGCAGCCCTACCCACACTTCCCTTAGGCAGCCTGCTCACCGCCGGCCTCACCCCAGGTTCTCATCCAGCCCTCTCCTTCCACCCAGTGCTGCCATGGGCTGGGCCTGTGCCCAAGGACTCCTCAGGGGAGGGGTGTGTGCCCAACCAGAGCTGGGATTGGGGGCCAGGAGAGGCTGCTGGAGAGTCCTCCAGCCTCAGCTGAGCCCCGAGGAGGGCCTTTTGGCTAGAAGGAGGTGCAGAGGAAGAGTGTGGGCCCAGGACCATGCGGGCGCCACTTGCCTGGATGCAGGGGGTGGGGGCAGGTTGGGTAGCAGCATCAAGAATGGGCGTGGGCAGCCGGGACTGGGTGAGACAAGGAGGTCAGGGCCATTGCCCTGAGGGGGAAGGGCAGAGGCTATGGATGTGTGCAGGCTGGGGAGAGAGCTGAACGGAGCCCGGCCTGCTTGCACAGGTGCTCGTGGGAGGTGTCCTGAAGGCTGCCGCCCCGACCCCCAGCCTGCTCCTGCCCGCCGCGGCGGGGGCCCCCACTCCTACTTGCAGTCCTCCACCAGCTCCCTCAGCAGCTTCTCCCACTGCTGGAGCAGAGCTGGGTCCTTCAGATTCCGCAGGGACTTCAGGGTGTCCAGATTGGCTTTCTGCCCAGACAGTGAAAGAGAGAGAGAGAAGAGAGAGAAAGAAGGCTGGCCTCAGCACGGAGCATGCCAGAGACAGCCTACGGGGCTCACGGGCCCAAGGTTTTTCCAGCCAGGGCCTGGGGACTTTGGAGGGGTATCCTGACGATGTCACTCTGAGGCTGTCACATGCCTTGGCAAACTTACTCCACGCACCCTTCCCACCACCAACAGCCGAGGTGGCAGGGAGGAGCCAGGATGGAGGGGGACTGGGGAGCGGGGCAGCCTCCCATCTACAGGCATGAGAAAGTCGTGTCTGAGGAGGGGCACCAGGGGAGTCTCCCGAGATGTGTACTCCCTGACAGGGACCCAAGACCCTTTATGATCTGACCCTTCCCAGATTTCCTGACTCCAGCTCCTCATCACCTCCATGCCTCCCCACCAACTTTTAAAACTACCGCCTCACCTCCCTTGTTCCTCCCACCCCTCCCTACCAACTCCTACACAGCCTTCAAAGCCCTGCTGCAATGTCACCTCTTTGGTGAGCACCTCCTGTGCATGTCCCTCTCCCCCTCCCTTCCCCTTCCCAGTCTCTCCGACCTGTGGCTCTGGGCCCCAGCCCCAGCTGCTCCGTGCAGTAGCTGTCAGCACAGCCCCCTTCCCCAGAGAGTGAGCACAGGGGCGGTGTTTATCCAGCTCTGCGTTCAGCGCCTGGTGCTGCATCCGGCCCATGCGTGGCGACGGTGTGGACGCAGGAGTGAGCAGAGTGACCAGGTGCCTGGGACTGTGATGCGGTTCCCCGAGCATCGCCCCCGTCCCCTCCCTGCACCACTCACCAGGCGGTCCCGAGTGACGTGGAGGAGGTTGAGGCATTTCATGCGGAAGCTGATGTCCTCCCAGTTGGAGGTCACGGCCACGACAGGCTTGGTGTTGTACCAGGGTACGTAGTGGTAGTTGTTCCCTGAGACACAGAGGGACAGGCAGGGGACGAGGTGCATCTGAGGGACCCCAGGAGGGCTCCTCTCCCTGTGTCCCTGGGGAGGACCTCACCCAGCTACTCCATTCCTCAAGGGTGCCCCTGCCACCAACGCCAACAGGACCCCTCCAGCTGGGAGACCCGGCTGTGCCCTGTGATGAACCTGGATAGCTCCAGGGGCGCATGGACTATGCTCAGTGTGGGTTCACAGGTGGGAGAATCCAGCCGCAGGAAGCCGCTGGCAGGTGGTCATCACGCAGGCATTAAGCTGCAGGACCCTGTGCTCTGAACCCTGGGTGGATGCTTGGGTGGGGGGCGTGTCTCCATTCTGGGAGGTCTGTGGGAAGAGGAGGAGCGGGCCTCCAGGGGAGTCTGGGGGAAGCGCAGAGGGCTGGCAGGGCAGCAAGCGTGGGTAAGAACTGGTGGTGGCGTGGCAGGCTGGGTCCCTGGCAGTGCTTCTTAAAAAAGGGAGGAGGGATGGTGAGATGAAAGGTGACGTGCGCTGGGTTGGGCTTGAAGGAAGAAAGCCACAGAGGGCAGAAATTTAAAAAAAGGCAGAAAGTCTCTGAGGCAGGAGGCTTCAGACCAAGCCGACTTTAGACCTCTGAGTTCCCAGCAAATCCCCGAGGACTCACGCCTCTCTTAGGCAACTATGGGGGGCACACGTCTCGGGCCGCCTGAGGGGGGCAGTCTAACAGGAGACCCACGTGCTATGGGCTGAAGGGCGTCCCCCTTAAAGATATGTCACAGTGCTAACCCCCCAGCGCCCTCAGCATGTGGCCTCATTTGGAAACGGGGCCACCGCAGATGTAGTGCATTAAGACCAGGTCCCTGGGAACAGAGGGCTCCTAATCCAACATGACTGATGCTTTCATAAGAAGGGATGCAGTTACAGAAAGATGGCAGCTGCAGTGAAGACACAGGCAGTGGGGCAGCGAGGAGATAAGCAACACCAAGCTTTGCTGGCCACAGCCAGAAGCAAGGAGCAAGCCACGCAACTGAGTCTTAACCACTAGGGTAAATACATACCCCATGCAAAGCCTTTTTATTTACTTATTGATTTGAAAGGTAGAGTTACAGAAAGAGAGAGAGTGAGAGAGTGAGAGTAAGAGTGAGAGAGAGAGAGAGAATCGATCTTCCATCCACTGGTTCACTCCCTGAGTGGCTGCAATGGCCAGTGCTAGGCAGACTGAAGCCAGGAGCCAGCAGCTTCATCTAGGTCTCCCATATGGGTGCAGGGGCCTAAGGACTTGGGCCATCTTCCATTGCTTTTCCCAGGTGCATGAGCAGGGAGCTGGATCAGAAGTGGAGCAGCCAGGACACAAACCAGCACCCACACGGGATGTTGGCACTGCAGGTGGCAGCTTTACCCACTATGCCACAACACCATTCCCCAGTGCAGAACCGTTAAAGAAGTCCCTGATTGTCAGTGCCCCAGGTAACTGGAGAAAACAAAGGCAGATCCTCCCTGGAGATTGGAACCTTGGCCACACCTCAGAGAATTCCCACAGAGTCCCAAGGAAACAGCAGCTCAGCCTTAGCACACACACTCCTAGCCCAGCAGTCCTATTCCAAAGCCTACACCCAACCAAAAGACACGTGCAGCCTTAGCCAGGGATGCCAGGAAAATGTTCACAGCAGCTGTGATCATACTAGCCCCAAACTGGAAACAGCCATCACATCTCTCAATGACAGCAGGGCTAATAGGTTATAGTATATCATCACAATAGATTACTAAGCCACGAGTTCAAGGAGCTATAACTGTACCCAACGTCATCTACATTTGTGAATTCATTTCACAAATGATATGAACAATAATATTTCACAAATAATATGAACAAAGGAAGCCACACACTAAAGCATATATATATATATATAAAATCATATATATATGATTTAAGTTTTAGAAAACAGAAAAATGAAATGGGGCCTAGGAGAGGGGTTACCCTTGGAAGGGGATGGGAGTGGAGGGGCCCAGGGGACCCCTGGGTGCTGGTATCCCCTCCCTGCTCAGCACTGTCACACAGGCATGTTTGCTCCACAATTCACTGAGTGTGACACTTTGTCTGGTGTACTTTTCCACAGGCATGTTAGCCTTGAATCAAACGTTTACTTAAGAAATGACCAAATAATCATTTCTCAGTCATTTGGCTTAAATGAAGAAATTTTAAAATAGTGGGAGAAAACAGACAAAATAAATCTGTGCAACACAGCGTGTCCAATGTTGGGAAATGCTGTGCAGAAGAGCAAAGCAGGGGAGCTGGCTGCTGCGTGTGACACCCACGTCCCACATGGCTGACGCGCCTGGGAAGGCAGCGGGAGACAGCCCAAGTGTGGGGCCCCTGCCACCACATGGGATACCTGATGGTTCCTGGTCCTAGCTTTGACTTGTTCCAGACCTCACTGATGTGGCCATTTGGGGAGTGAACCAGAAAATGGAATCTTTCTCTGTGTCTCTCCTCTCTCCCTCTGTGTCACTCTAATGTGTGCCTTTCTAATAAATAATTTTTTTTAAAAAGAATAAAGTAGGATGTATTCTGTTTTAAATAGAATGGCTACCTAAGTTCTTTAACAAGAAGATCTAGAAGGGCCGGCCCCGCGCGCTGCGGCTCACTAGGCTAATCTTCCGCCTGCGGCGCCGGCACACCGGGTTCTAGTCCCAGTTGGAGTGCCGGATTCTGTCCCGGTTGCCCCTCTTCCAGGCCAGCTCTCTGCTGTGGCCCGGGAGTGCAGTGGAGGATGGCCCAAGTGCTTGGGCCCTGCACCCCATGGGAGACCAGCAGAAGCACCTGGCTCCTAGCTTCGGATCATCGCGGTGTGCCAGCCACTGCGGCCATTGGAGGGTGAACCAACGGCAAAGGAAGACCTTTCTCTCTCTCTCTCTCTCTCACTGTCCACTCTGCCTGTCAAAAAAATTTAAATAAATAATAAGAAGATCTAGAAGAAATTACAGAGTGCATCCCAGAGAGATGACAAGATGAAGAAAAATGGGAGACTTACAAATACAAAGGCCAGAAGGAGAGGGTTCACAAAGGATACAGCGAGGTCCAGGGGGACACAGAAGAGAGAAGGTGAGGGGAGAGTGGCACAGCAGTTAACACACAGCTCAGAGCACCCACATCCCACATCGGAGTGCCTGGGTTTGAGTCCCTGCTCTGCTTCTAATGCAGGCTTCCTGCTAATGTACCTGGGAAGGCAAATGCTTAGGGCCCTGCCACCCACAAGATCCTGAGGGCGTTCCTGGCTCCTGGCTTTGGCCTGGCCTACCCCCAGCTGTTGCAGACATTTGGGGATAGAACCAGCAGATGGAAGCTGTCTCTCTGCCTTTTTTTTTTTTTTTAAGATTTATGTATTTATTTGAAAGTCAAAGTTACACAGAGAGAGAAGGAAAGGCAGAGAGAGGGAGAGGTCTTTCATCCGCTGGTTCACCCCCCAACTGGCTGCAATGGCTGGAGCTGTGCCGATCCAAAGCCAGGAGCCAGGAGCTAGGAGCTTCTTCCAGGTCTCCCACGCGGGTGCAGGGGCCCAAGAACTTGGGCCATCTTCCACTGCTTTCTCAGGCCATAGCAGAGAGCTGGACGGGAAGTGGAGCAGCCGGGACTTGAACCGGCACGCAGATGGGATGCCGGCACTGCAGTCGGCAGCCTTACCTGCAAAGCCACAGCACTGGCCCCTGTCTCTCTGCCTTTCAAACGCATAACAATTAAAATTAAAAAAAGAAAAAAGAGAGAAGAGTTGGTAATTTTTGAAGAGAAAACATTTCAGAATTTTCCACGGTTGTTGGAAGACACATGTCAGGCTGCTATTTATCATTCGAATGACCCACAAGTGGGCTTCTCCATAGGAGCATGGGATTCCAGGTGGCAATTTTCCTCTTGGACAGCTTACAAAAGCAACAAGGACAAGGAAAACAACTCCATTTTCAGCAAACAAGGAGACCGATATAATCTGCAGACTCAAACTACACACGAGGACTGCCAAAAGCAACTCTGGGGGCCACAGACGCACTGAGGGGTGAAGCCACTTTGGGGAGGAGGGAGTGACTGGCTAGACGGACAGTGGGAAGCACAGCCTGATGGGAGCGATCGCAGAGAGTGCCAGCAAAAATACACTCCCTGCAGGAACTCGGGGTGCACAGGAGGAGAGGTGAGCCAGCAGGAGTCAGAAAACAAGCAGAAGCAAAAACGAAAACAATCAGAGAAAGGAAGGCAACATTAGCGGCCCAGGGAAGATTAGTTCCCGAACAGACTTCACGAGCGGCACAGAAATAGGAAATGAGGAAACACGACCAAAGTGAAATGCAAAGAAAGGGTAAAAAAATGATCAAGGGGAAAGGTGACAGATGTGTTAGAAGAGCAAGGAGAATCGCTAAACCCATAAATGAAGCAACTAAATAATAACCAGAACAGGTGTTTTAACTTAAAAAAATTCACATGGAAAGGCCAGTCTTTAACAAGTGGTGCTTGAACAATTGGATAGCCACATGCAAATGAATTCAAAATGAATCTGAGAGCCATGCCTAAGTGTCTGAACTAAAACTACAAAACTTTAGAAGAAAAAACTAGGAGGGGATGGCATTGTGGCAAAGCTGTAGCATCCTATATCAGGGTACCAGTTCAAGTCCCGACTACTCCACTTCCTATCCAGGTTCCTGCTGATGCACCTAGGAAGGCAGTGGAAGATGGCCCAGGTGCCTGCGTCCCTGCCAACCATCTGGGAGACCGGGATGGAGTTCCTAGCTCTCGGCTTCAGCCTGGCCCTGCCTGGCCATGTCTTGGCTGTTGTGGCCATTTGGAGTGAACTAGTGGATAGAAGATTTCTCTCTCCCTCTTCCTCTCTCTCCCCCTTTATCACGTTGCCTTTCAAATAAGTAAATAGATTTTTTTTTTTAAATTTTAAAGATTTATTTGTTTGTTTGAGAGGCAGAATTACAGAGAGAAAGAGGCAGAGGGACAGCTCCCATATGGGATGCCAGCAAACTAACACTACAGCCAGGTACAACTTCACACCCATTAGAATGGCCCAGATGAAAAAGACTGACAATGCCAAAACTTGGTAAGGATCTGGAGCAGATGGAGCTCTCAAGCAGCGCTGTGGGGGTGTAAAATAGTACATTTACTTTGGAAATATGTTAGGCATTTTCTTATAAAACTCAAATTTCATCCCTTGGTATTTACCCAAGAGAAATGAAAGCACATTTTCTTTTAAGATTTATTTATTTACTTGAAAGTCAGAGTTTCATACAGAGAGAGAAGGAGAGGCAGAGAGAAAGAGAGAGAGAGAGAGGTCTTCCATCCACTGGTTCACTCCCAAACTGCCAGAGCTGTAATGGCTAGAGCTGTACCGATCCAAAGCCAGGAGCCAGGAGCTTCTTCCCAGTCTCCCATGTGGGTGTAGGAGCCCAAGGACATGGGCCATCCTCTACTGCCTTCCCAGGCCATAGCAGAGAGCTGGATCGGAAGTGGAGCAGCTGGGACAGAAACCATTGCCCATATGGGATGCCAGCACTGCAGGCAGCGGCTTAACCCACTACACCACAGCACTGGCCCAAAAGCACATTTTCATAAAAGTGACTTGTACAAGAATGTTCATAACAGATTTATTTATTTATTTGAAAGAGAGAGAGAGAGAGAATCTCCCATCTGCTGGTTCATTTATAATATTCCAAAATTCAAATCAATCTAAATGTCCATGAACATAAATTGTTCATTTTTATTTAATTTTTGTTTAATGGAACACTAACAGAGATAAAAGGGAACAAAGTACTGTCTATGCAACAACACAAGTGAATTTCTACGGTACTATGCTGAGCAAAAAGCAGCCAGAGAAAGAAAGAGCACCGTATGTACCATTGCATCCATGTGAAGTTGTGGCCAAGCAAATCAAATCTATGGTGGTAACAAGCATGATGATTGTCCCTAGGGTTGAAGGAATTGACTGAAAAGGGGCACACAACTCGGTAGAGCAGTGGAAGATGGCTCAAGTACTTGGGTCCCTGCCCACAAGCGGGAGACCCAGAAGAAGCTCCTGGCTCCTGGCTTCGAATCAGCCCGGCTTTGGCCATTTGGGGAGTGAACCAACAGACAGAAGACCTCTCTCTCTCCGTCTCTCCCTCTGTCTGTAACTCTACCTCTCAAATAAATAAATAAATAAATCTTTTTTTCAAAAAGTTGGGGGGCACACAGAAGCTTTCTGGAGTAATGGAAATCTTTACCAAAACTCATAAATCTGTATACCTTAAATCTGTACATTATATTGTTTTTTTTTTTAAAAAAATGTTGCCACTTAAAGAATGAAAAGTCAATTTACAGACTTGGAGAAGATTATTTACAACACACATATCTGGCAAAAGATGTTAGGTACAGAATAAGAAAGATGCAATCAAGTGGAATAATGAACAAAATATATGGAAAGGTTTCTTACAGGTAAGGAAAAACAAATGTCTCTATACATATGAAAAGATGTTCAACTCTAATTTATAATCAGGAATATCACAGTAAGGCCATATGAGATACTACTTTACATCAATCACAATGGCAAAAACTAAGACTGGGCAAGGGGTCGGGCACTGCGGTGTAGTGGGTAAAGCCACTGACTGCAGTGCCAGCATCCCATATGGTGCTGGTTCAAGTCATGGCTGCTGTACTTCCTATCCAGCTCTCTGCTATGGCCTGGGAAAGCAGTGGAGGATGGCCCAAGTCCTTGGGCTCCTGCACCCGTGTGGGAGACCTAGAGGAGGCTCCTGGCTCCTGGCTTCAGATTGGCTCAGCTCTGGCCACTGTGGCCATCTGGGGAGTGAACCAGCGGATAGAAGACTTACTTTCTCTCTCTCTCCTCTGCCTCTGCTTCTCTGTAGCTCTTCCTTTCAAATAAATAAATACATCTTTTTTTTTTTTTTTAAAGACTGGGCAACACCCAGTACTGGTGAGAATGTACAGTATAAGAATTCTCATACCAGGCTGATGAGAGTGTAATCTGGTATAATCATTTTTGTTTTGAGAGTCTCTTCCACTCCTAGGTATATAATTTAGAGGAAGGCTTGCACTTGGGACCAGGAGTCATGTACAAGGATGTTTAAATAAAATTATTGTACTAACAATAGAGATACAACCTAAATGTCTACATATACCATATAATTTGTGTGGTATAATCATACAGTTGGATATACAAAGAAATGAAAATGAATTGCAGCTATACATACCCGTATAAAAATTTGACATTCAGCAAAAATGTAGGACATGAATACAGACTGAAAGAGTGCATTTATGTAAGATTGTGCTGTTTAGAGTTCCATTCAGAGGTGGTAAAAATTAAAAAGACCAAGGTGTGATTAACATAAGAGTCAGGGACAGAGTCATCTCTTAAATGAATAGATTTGGGAAAAGCAAATAATTTTCTATATTTTAAGCTGCGTAGTTAAGTTCATGACTACTCATTTTATTCTTTAAATTGTACATAAACATTTTATATACTTTTTGTTTTTGTTTGAGAGTCAGAGAGACAGAGAAGGAGAGACACACACACAAGCTGAGCAAGAGAGCTCCTATCTGCTGGTTTACTCCTCAGATGACCACACAGTGGTGGGGAGGAGCCCGAAGCCTGGAGCTGGACACTTAGTCCAGGTTTCGTATGTGGATTACAGACCCCCAGCTACTGGAGTCATTGCTGCTGCCTCCCAGGGTTTGTACTGGTGGGAAGCAGAAGTCAGGAGCCAGAGCTGGGAATCGGACCCAGGTACTCTGACATGGGACACAGGTGTCTTAAGCACCAGGCTAAACACCTGCTCCTTAGATACATTTTGTATAAAGATTTCATAAAATGAAAAATAAGTAGAACATTATGCTAAGTGAAATGAGTCAGTCATGAGGGAACACACACTGTATGATTCCATGCATACAAAATGTCCAGAAAATGAAAGCCTAGAGAGACAGAAAGCTGATGGAAAAAAAAAAAAACATAGAAAGTGTGCTTGTCTAGGGCTGGGAGGATGGGAGAGAGACGGGGAGCAACTGCTGGAAGGGCACAGGTTCTTTCGGGGGTGAGGAATTTGTTCTAGAACTGATTATGGTGGTGGTTGCACAACTCTGTGAATATGCCAAGAACTGTTGAATTGGACACTTTCAGTGGGAGAAATATATGGCATGTGAATTATATCTCAACAAAGCTTTTATTAAAAAAAAAAAAAAAGTAAGGAACGGCATGCCCAGAGAGGCTCTTGATGGGTAATGAGATGGGGAGGCTGATAAAGATGGAAGGGAGACAGTACTGCTCGGTAGCAGTGGTTTTCAAATTTTAGCATGACCCAAATCACCTGGAGGACTTCTTAAAACACAGATCAGGAGGTGCCATGCCCAGACTTTCTGATTGTGTGGGTCTAGGCTGGGGTCAGGAATTTGCATTTTTTCTTTTTTTGACAGGCAGAGTGGACAGTGAGAGAGAGAGACAGAGAGAAAGGTCTTCCTTTGCCATTGGTTCACCCTTCAATGGCCGCCGCGGCCGGCGCACCGCGCTGATCCGAAGGCAGGAGCCAGGTGCTTCTCCTGGTCTCCCATGGGGTGCAGGGCCCAAGCACTTGGGCCATCCTCCACTTCACTCCCGGACCACAGCAGAGAGCTGGCCTGGAAGAGGGGCAACCGGGACAGAATCCGGCGCCCAGACCGGGACTAGAACCCAGTGTGCCGGCGCCGCAAGGCAGAGGATTAACCTAGTGAGCCGCGGGGCCGGCTCAGGAGATACTGCTCCTGCTGGTCCAGAGACTGTACTTTGAGAACTACAGTGCCCAGTATAGGTGTCAGTAGCTATGCATTGGATGGAAGGGCAAATGGATGGATGGGAAGTTGGCTGGGTGTTTGAGAGACTGGAGAGACTGGGGTTGAAAGGTTGAATGTATGGATCAATGGATTAATAGATAAAAGGGCGGATGGATGGGAGGTTGTTCATAGTGGGGGAACAGATGAGGTTAGGAAAACAGTGTGGAAAGTAGTGCACAGAAAGCCTAGAAATCAAGACCCGGCGTCAACTTTTGGCTGTGTAATGTTTGTGATGTCACCTCTCTGCACCTCTTTGCCCTCCGGTGTGAAATGTGGGTAAATAATGCCTACGCATCTTCCAAAGCTACACCCTTGGAAGAGCCTGGCGCAAAGAGGTTGCTCACTGTTCGCTGACTCTGACAATTACCATCATATATCACCGGACTGTACTGTGTGGTTGACACCAGAGGTTTGTAATTCGTGTCTGTCTTGTTTCCGTAGTGGCCGATGCTGACTTCGAACTGGATCAGGTCCTTAAAGCTGGGCATCAAGGTACAGGACAGGAAGACGACGCACAGCCCATACCTCAGCCGGTTCTGGTGCTTCTACAATGATAACCGCGCACACCGCCAGGACATAAGCCACGGGGTGGACATATCCAGACAAGGAGTGAGGCAAGGAGGAAAGGTCCAGTTTCTTCCCAAAGCCATAATGCTCGGCCTCAGGGTTATTATTATTCAGCCTCTCCCCGAGTCTGAAAACCCTGCACGGCTGGCCAAGGCAGCTCCTCCCAGCACTTCTTTCACCTGGCCCACTCCACTCAGTCAATACGGTTTCTCCTCTTAAAATCAGGTAGGGGAGTCTCCTCCCCGGTGAAGCTAGGCCCTGAGTTGGGCCACTCCATCTCCATTCCTTGTCTTCCTCAACTGTCTTCTCAGAGGAGATGGTGTGGCCTGGGGTGTGTCCAGCTAAGGACACACACACACACACACACACACACCTGCCCTTATTGGCTCATCTCTGCAAGCTCCCCTCCTCCTCCCACAATAGCTGAACCTTTTTACTTTCTGGCCCAGCCACCCACTATCCCCCCACGTATGTCTGTTCCCACCGTGCCTCCCATCTGCTCTTAGCCTCCATCTATTACATCAGTCCTTATTTAAGTTGCCACCCTCCGCCCTGTTCCTCAATGCCCCCATCTGTTCACTAGCTCAGGGCTCCCCCATTTTAAAAAGAAATTCTCCTTCTCCCATCTGAGCCCCTATTTAGCTACCACCTGATGTCTCTTCCTTCCACGTTTTCAGACAAGTTCTTTAAAGACTTCCCTCTGTCCACTACCTCGCCCTTTCTCTCCTCCACCTTCAGGATCACAGTTAACTCCTCAATGCAACTCTCTCCTGCTGAGCCTACCTCTGCAGACTCCTCGGTCTCACCTACACCTCTTTCTCCTTCACCTCCTCTTGGACCATGGCATCCTCCTGGGCTCTCTCTCCTCGCTCCCTGCTCCCTTCACTACACCGACTCCTCTGAAAATTTCTTCCATGGACCACAGGTTCAAATCTTGAACACACACCCTGTGTCTAACAGCCTGGGGGCTGGTCTACATGGAAGTCCCCCAAGTGTGTGTTGGAGATGGGATTCATCATCCCCCCCAGACCCGCTGCTCCTTCAGGGACCCACCTTGGCACATGCTACCCCTGACCACCCTGTCACTAAAGACAGAAAGTGGGCAAGTGGGCATCAGCTTAGGGGAGTCATCCTCACTTCCTGTGTCCTATAGGGGGCTGGCTGTGACCTTCCCAAGGCTTCAGAATGAAACCTTAGACTATTTTACAAAGCCCTAAGTCACCAACAAACACAATTTCTCCTTCACGAGATTACACTTTTTTTTTTTTTTAACTGAACCATCAGAAACTGGGGCCCACGGCAGGTCAGAGGCAGGCAGCGGGATTCTGTTACCCCTGGGTTCCCATTTCCCACGGTTACCTCTATCCTGGCCACTTCACGGGAGATATCCTTTATCCAAAACTCTTGCTGGGACTTGATTTTTGTGATTAACTCCATGAAGAGTCGTCCTCTATAAGCTAAACCATCCTTAACAGAGTCGGGAACACACTAGGGCCGACGGAAGGAAAAATGGAGAGAAAAGGATGAGAGAAAAAGAGCAAGCGACCCCCACCCCCAGCCAGGACAAGGTTGTCCACTAAAACTGCCTGCCTGTTCCCACCACAGTCCCAGCGAACTCCAGATACCAGAGACACCTGCATGCCAGGAAACCTCGCGGCTCTGACCCCTCTTCTGCTCCCTCAGCACCCACCACTCTCGTTCATGAATTCTACCTGCCCCCCAACTTGAAGTATCCTCTCGCCGGCAAGTGATTCAAGTTTGCAGGCGGCTGTGACACATTGCGTTTGCGCTCCTGGCCTGACCAATCAGGGCATGTCCCGCCTCCTTGGCCACAGTGATTGGGCCAAGAGGAGCACACTGATCCTAAGGAAGCCAATTAGAAAGCTTCGCTGGCCTCCAGGTCCAGGCTCCCAGCCCAGGGGCCCCACTGCGCAGCACGCGGGAGGAGAGGAGGAATGCAGGTGCGAAGAAACCCAGGTAGGAGAGGGAGTGAGACTCCTCCTCACTTAGAATCTTTCCTTGCCTCCTACCCCTTTCGTTTAAGCCAATTTAATTTCTGGCGTTTGTCACCAGTCGTAAATATCCTGTGCTTTTCTACATTACCTGCGCCTTGCATTTTCGCCTGCAGCAGGTCTTATCTGGAGTCTCATCCCAGTGCCCCTTCCTCAGCGACCGCCTGGAGCACGCCACTTGTTGCTTTATTGTGCCGTGTATGGCTGCTTATATACACAATTCCCATCCTCTGCTGGGGTGTGGTGAGCAGAACACAGAGCCCAGCCGCTCCTCACCCCTTCCCCGACACCCCGGGCCTGTGCTTTTCACATAGGCGGTTTTACCTCCACTGCCACCTAGAGTTGACAGGAGAAGCTTACGTGTTTTTCCTGCATGCTGAACGCAGCCCTTTTCCCCCCATGGAGAATCAGGAAGCTGGGGCCAAAGCAGGGCAGGAAGCCGGAGTACATTCCTGGAAGGAGAGCGGTCAGAGGTGGGGAGCCCAGGTGGGGAGAGGTGGGAGACAGGGGGCCAGGGCTTCGCTTGCCTTCTATCTCTTCCCCAGTGGACGAGATCTGGTTGAGGGACAAGCTCACAGTGCCAATCTCATTCTGACAATCATTTCTGGGGCTGAAGAGAAACACTGCAGGCTGAGCCGCTGGCCGGGCTCTCGTCTCCACCTCCCCTGTAAGTTTCTGCCCAGTGGCTCACCAATCCAAGACTCTGAACTTGATGTAGCTGGAGAGGCAGGGCAGCTGCGGGGGGAAGGTGAGAGAAGCAGTGGGTGCTCACTGGGGTGGTCAGACCTCACGGAGATTTCCAGAGCAGATGGAAAGTCTGGGGTCTGGCTCAGTTATCAGTGAGCCAGTTAATCACGGACAAGCTGGGTTTACCACTGAGCTCATGGAGCTTGTGCTGTGGACTGTCCAACCCCCCCCAACTCCCCATTTACTGGGGCCCCTTGCAAGTCCCTGGGAGGTGCAATCTAAAGCCAGGAGCCAGGAGCTTTTTCCAGGTCTCCCATATGAGTGCAGGGGCCCAAGCATCTTCTACAGCTTTCCCAGGCCATTAGCAGGGAGCTAGATTGGAAGTGCAAAAGCCAGGACTCAAACTGATGCCCATATGGGATGCTGGCGCTGCAGGCGGAGGCTTAACCTGTTACACCACAGTGCCAGCCCCTTATTCTGTTCTTTAAAAAAAAAAAAAAAAAGATTTGTCTATTTGAAAGGCAGGGTGACAGGGAGAGGGAAGGAAAGACAGAGAAAAGAAAGATCTTCCATCCAGTGGTTAACTCTCCAAATGCCTATAGTGGTCAGGTCTGGGTCAGGCTGAAGCTCCATCCGGATCTTCCAAGGGGGTGGCAGGGACCCAAGACCTTGAGCTGTCTTCCCCTGCCTTCCCAGGATGTGCATTAGCAGGAAGTGGGGACTCCATCTGGCAGGCTGATATGGGATGTAGGTGTCCAAGGGGTAGCTTAACCCTGTATTCTTGTTTCTTAAAATGGCCCTCTAATTGCATAAATTCAGGACCTGAGAGACTTGGGTGCAGCCTGACTATGGGTTTGTTCATGGTTACCAGCCTGGCACAGTCCTTCTCAGCCTGATACACAGTCACCAAACCATCTCGTGGTGAGGTCTTGAGCCTAGAATGCCTGCATCACACCCAGTAGTTAACTCTTTAAGCAGCAAGACTGTCTCCTCCAAAGTGAAGAACAGTGCTTACAGCTGCTGCTCCAGAAGGGTGTCTGCTGTCCCGCAGCCTGTGCTGTGCAGTCTCCATAAACCAGCTGGTAAATCCTCCCAGTACAACAGAATTGGTAAAGCAGAAGAAAGAATATCCAACTTAGAAGACAAAGCACAGGAAATTATATGATCAGACCAACTCAAGAAGAAGAAATTATAAAACTAAAAAAAAAACACTGTTGGTAATCTACAGGATACTATCAAATGACCCAACATATGGGTTCTAGGAGTTTCTGAAGGCATGGAGAGAGAGAAAGGATTAGAAGGCATTTTTATTGAAATAATAACAGAAAATTTCCCTAATTTGGAGAAAGAGACATGACCTGAAAATATCTTCACCATGACACATTGTAAGCAGACTCTCCAAAGCCAGGAGCCAGGAGCTTCTTCCAGGTCTCCTATGTGGGTGTGCAGGCCCAAAGACTTGGGCCATCTTCTACTGCTTTCCCAGGCCATAGCGGAGAGCTGGATAGGAAGTCGAGCAGCCAGGACTCAAACTGGCACTCATATGGGATACCGTCACTGCAGGCAGCAGCTTTACCCGCTGTGTTACAGTGCCAACCCCAAGAAAGAACTTCTAAGATCAATCCCATTTACAATAGCAACAAAAAAAATCAAATACCTTGGAATAAATTTAATCAAGCATGTCAAAGATCTCTACGATGAGAATTACAAAACATTAAAGAAAGAAATAGAAGAAGATACAAAAAAAAATTGAAAAAAATCTTCCATGTTCATGGATTGGAAGAGTCAATATCATCAAAATGTCCATTCTTCCAAAAGCAATTTACAGATTCAATGTGATACCAATCAAAATACCAAATATATTCTTCTCAGATCTAGATAAAATGATGCTGAAATTCATATTGAAACGTAGGAGACCCCAAATAGCTAAAGCAATCTTATACAACAAAAACAAAGCCAGAGGCATCATAATACCAGATTTCAAAACATTCTACCAAGGCAGTTATAATCAAAACAGCCTGGTACTGGTACAAAAAACAGATGCATAGACCATTAGAATAGAATAGAAATGCCAGAAATCAGTCCAAGCATCTACAACCAACTTATATTTGACCAAGGAGCTAAAACCATACCTGGAGCAAGGACAGTCTCTTCAACAAATGGTGCCAGGAAAACTGGATTTCCACATGCAGAAGTATGAAGCAGGACCCCTACCTTACACCTTACACAAATATCCATTCAAAATGGGTGAAAGACCTAAATCTACAGCTTGATACCATCAAATTATTAGAGAACACTGGGGAGACCTTGCATTGGCACAGGCAAAGAGTTCTTGGAAAAGACCCCAGAGGCACAGGCAATCAAAGCCAAAATTAACAAATGGGATTACATCAAATTGAGAAGCTTCTGTACTGAAAAAAAAAAAAACACTCAAGAAACTGAAGAGGCAACCAACAGAATGGGAGAAATTATTTGTGAACTATGCAACTGATAAAGGATTAATAACCAGAATATATAAAGAGATCAAGAAACTTCACAACAACAAAACAACCCAGTTACAAAATGGGCAAATGACTTAAACAGACATTTTTCAAAAGAGCAAATCCAAATGGCCAACAGACACATGATAAAATGTTCAGGATCACTAGCAATCAGGGAAATGCAAATCAAAACCACAATGAGGTTTCACCTCACTCCTGTTAGAATGGCTCACATTCAGAAATCTACCAACAACAGATGCTGGTGAGGATGTGGGGAAAAAGGAACACTAACCCACTGTTGGTGGGAATGCAAACTGGTAAAGCCACTATGGAAGTCATTCTGGAGATTCCTCAGAAACCTGAATATAACCCTACCATACAACCCAGCCATCTCACTCCTTGGAATTTACCCAAAGGAAATTAAATTGGCAAACAAAAAAGCGGTCTGCACCTTAATGTTTATTGCAGCTCAATTCACAATGGCTAAGACCTGAAATCAACCCAAATGCCCATCAAGAGTAGACTGGATAAAGAAATTATGGGACATGTATTCTATAGAATACTATACAGCAGTCAAAAACAATGAAATACGGTCATTTGCAACAAAATGGAGGAATCTGGAAAACATCATGCTGAGTGAATTAAGCCAGTTCCAAAGGGACAAATATCATATGTTCTCCCTGATCGGTGACAACTAACCAAGCAACAAAAAGGAAACCTGTTGAAGTGAAATGGACACCATGAGAAACAGTGACTTGATCAGCCCTTGTCCTGACTGTTGATGTACAATTTAATACTTTAACCCCTTTTTGTATTTTTTTTGTTCTAGTTAATACTATTGGTTGAACTCTGTAATTAACACACAATTATTCTTAGGTGTTTAAAATTAACTGAAAAGTGATCTCTGTTAAATATAAGAGTGGGAATAAGAGAGGGAGGATATGTACAATTTGGGACATGCTCAATAGGACTTGCCCCAAATGGTGGAGTTAGAAACGTGCCAGGGGATTCCAATACAATCCCGTCAAAGTTGCATGTATCAATGCCATCTCACTAGTCCAAGTGATCAATTTCAGTTCACAGTTGATCACACTGATAGGTCTAAGAGTCAAAGGGATCACACAAACAAGACTAATGTCTGCTAATACTAACTGATAGAATAAAAAAGGGAGAGAACAATCCAGCATGGGAAGTAGGATACACAGCAGACTCATAGAATGGCAGATGTCCTAAACAGCACTCTGGCCTCAGAATCAGCCCTTAAGGCATTCGGATCTGGCTGAAGAGCCCATGAGAGTATTTGAGTATTTTAGGCATGGAAAGCCAAGATACTCTGGCAAAAACAAACAAACAAAAAAACCTAAATGAAAGATCTCTGCGAGTGAGATCCCAGTAGAAAGAACAGGGCCATCAAAAAGGAGGTACCTTTCTCTGAAGGGAGGAGAGAACTTCCACTTTGACTATGACCTTGTCTGAATAAGATTGAAGTCGGCGAACTCAAAAGGCTTCCATAGCCTTGGCAACTCATGACTAGAGCCTAGGGAGATTACTGACGCCATAAACAAGAGTGTCAAATTGTTAAGTCAACAACAGGAGTCACTGTGTACTTACTCCTCATGTGGGATCTCTGTCCTTAATGTGTTGTCCAATGTGAATTAATGCTATAACTAGTACTGAAACAGTATTTTACACTTTATGTTCTGTGTGGGTGCAAACTGATGAAATCTTTCCTTAATATATACTAAATCGATCTTCTGTATATAAAGATAATTGTAAATGAATCTTGATGTGAATGGAAGGGGAGAGGGAGCGGGAGATGGGAGGGGTGCGAGTGGGAGGGAAGTTATTGGGGGGAAGCCATTGTAATCCATAAATTGTACTTTGGAAATTTATATTTACTAAATAAAAGTTAAAAAAAAGAAACATGTAAAGTAAAAGAAAGTCTAATGCTCTTTGGGTAGCCAAATCAATGTCACACAAAGTTCTATGCACTTAGAGAGAGCTCAAGTTATCTCCTAGAGCTGTTTTTTTTTTTTTTTTTTACAAACAGCTCTTTAGAAGTCTGGCATGGAATCAAAAGGCCATTAAGGCTTCAGGGGAACCATTATCCATGACAGCTGATAGCTGCCTGAGAAGGCCTGAAAGGCTATAAGAGCCTGACTGTAGAACCCCACAAAGAGGAGCATCTTGGAGCCATTTAGTATAGAAACAACAAGCCCAGAACCACACACAGCCCTGTATAATAACTATGTTCCCATCATGGCTCCAGGCCATCAACAAAGAGCTGTAATTATATTTGGGCAGTTTGCCTGGGAGATAAAAAAAATGTATAATTTAGAATGAGTCTTTAAAGCAGTTTTTTTTTTTTAATTCTTTTCATTTGATTTGAAAGGTGTGTGTGTGGCGGTGGGGGGAGTTTCCATCTGCTGGTTCACTCCTCAAATGCATGTAATAACCAAGGCTGGGCCAAGCTGGATCCAGGAGCCCAGAACTCAACTTAGATATCCCATGCAGGTGGCAGGGACCCAAGTACTTGCGCCATCACTTTCTGCCTCCCTTCCATTTGGGGATCAGTAGGGACAAGGCAGGTGTGATGGAGCAGCCATACCTGAATCTGGAACGTCAGGATCTGGTTCCATATGGGGTTATCGGTGAGGGCCTGCATATTTGTCTGGAGCTGGGAACATCCCAAAGCAGTATCAGTGCCAGCCCATCCCCTCCTCCCTCCATTGGCCTCACCACCCAGCCCTTCCTGTCCAGCCCACAGGTGGACACTGCCTGCAGCACAGGGGAAATCGGGTCATGCCTTGGTCTAAAGACGCTTGGACAACTTCTCATTAGCTAAACACCTTCAGTCCTTTGTGTCCTTCAAGTGTTTGCTAGATTCATATTCCTCAATAGTTCTCCTTAAAACAACTTTAAAATTAAATTGGTCAGGGCGCCGGATTCTGTCCCGGTTGCCCCTCTTCCAGGCCAGCTCTCTGCTATGGCCAGGGAGTACAGTGGAGGATGGCCCAAGTGCTTGGGCCCTGCACCCCATGGGAGACCAGGAGAAGCACCTGGCTCCTGCCATCGGATCAGCGTGGTGCGCCGGCCGCAGCGCGCCGGCCGTGGTGGCCATTGGAGGGTGAACCAACAGCAAAAGGAAGACCTTTCTCTCTCTCTCTCTCTCTCACTGTCCACTCTGCCTGTCAAAAAAAAAAAAATAATAATAAGGATAGGGCTACTAACTTTACTATGTAAATACATGTAGATTTTTGTTAGATCAGTTCTAAGATCCCAACAGAAAAATGGACTGAAACACAGCTGGTGGTGACATAGCAGTGCTTTGAAAACCATCAATTGACTTAAAAAAAATTTTTTTTGACAGGCAGAGTTAGACAGTGAGAGAGAGATACAGAGAGAAAGGTCTTCCTTCCATTGGTTCACCCCCAAAATGGCCGAAGCCAGGAGCCAGGTGCTTCCTCCTGGTCTCCCATGTGGGTGCAGGGCCTAAGCACTTGGGCCATCCTCCACTGCCTTCCTAGGCCACAGCAGAGAGCTGGCCTGGAAGAGGGGCAACCGGGACAGAATCCGGCGCCCCGACCGGGACTAGAACCCAGGGTGCCGGCGCCGCAGGCAGAGGATTAGCCAAGTGAGCCACAGTGCCGGCCAATTGACTTAATTTTTAAACTTTGCCAGCCTTATTCTTTGCAGTGATATCTGGGAAATCAAGTGTACCTTTTTAAGGTAAACACAGGAATATCAACACTTCTGGAAAAAATGGGGCTCATTTGCCACCCAGGAACATGTGACCCGGCTCTGGGAATGCTCCCACCACTGGCTACTCAGGGTGACAGTTTTATATGTATGCACAAAATCTTTGGTTCTCCTCCCTTCAAAGTGTGGACATTAATTCCCTTTCCCTTGTGTTTGGGCTGAATTTAATGACTGGCTTCTGACAGATAGAATGTGATAGAAATCTTGGCTTGTGACTAAGACAAATCCATTTAACTTTAACCTGGCACCCCTGCCCCCAATTCAAACATCGGACCTTTGCCTGCACAAAACACCCATCAGCCCACTTAGGGAAAGGCTACCGTGTTTCCAGATGTTCATGGAATGTCAGCAGCTCTCTTGCCTGGAACTGTCACTTGACAGGTGAAGATGCTAAGCCCGGAGGGGCTGGTAACCCTGTCAGTGCTGTTCACTGGTTAGCATTTTGTTTCACTCACTCATTCATTCCTCCTTGCAGTCACACGTTTGGTTCTCAGTGGGCATCTTCTCTATGCAAAGCTCTGGGCACACTTTGGCATGCAGGGCTGAGTAAGACACGGCTTTGGCCCCAGAGCTCCGGGGCTGGGGGCCACACTGCCCATCAGTAGATGAGCTGGGATACGATTCTGGGGGTTCTGCCCATCAGCCCACTCTCTCCCTCCACACTACTTTTCCTGGGTGCCAATTTCTCTAGATCTCAGACCCTGTCTGTACTTACCTTTTCCCCAATTAGTTCCACTTCCAAAACAGGACTCACTAAATGGTGTTTCTCTATGAACAAGAAGTTAAAAGATTTCAGCATTTTTTTTTCAGATGGAAAGGGAATGGTGATAGAATAACTTAGACCCCCCCCATAATAATAATATAGTTGGGTGCCCTCTGGGCAGGTGTGTCTTTGGGGATCACCCTGCCCATTCTGCATCTTATCCACATAATGACATAGGGAGAGGGGACACAGGGAAGCTCAAGTCTACAACTGGCATCCAAGACCGGTCAGTGACAATGGGGCCAATGGGTACAGCTGTCCTTGAGGCCTTAGTGAAGCAATTCTTGGTGGATTATATCTCAGTCTCACCCTGAGACCACCCCCCATCTTAGGTCAGTGTCCCACGTATTGAGGAAGTCTCCTGAGGATGGAGGGAACAAAGGGTCGCTCCCTCCCCTGCCACCCTGACTCTAACTGAGATGCAGGTCCTCGGCGCAGTAGATGAAGAACTGTAAGTAGGCTGCGTGGATGGGGACTCGGGTCGACTTGATGATCTGAATATCCTTTTCGGCCCCATAGGGCAGCTTTTGATCCACCTGGAGAGATCAGAGAGCTGGATAGGTTCAGGGTCATGGGGAGGTCACAGCCAAGGCCTCTGGTCATTGCTTCCCCAACTCCCATTGGGTGCAGGGGGAGGGACAACTGTGTGGACACAGTCGAGTATGGAAAAGTCAACAACCACTTCACGACCCCAGGGGTATCCTAAGGAAGCAGCTGGGGTAGGAAATGTTAGTAGGGTGTGGGGCGGCCTCACCGGAGCCTGGTCTCCCACACCCAGCACGCAGATGGTGACTTTCAGGTAGCCTCTCACGCCGCTGATGGGTTTGTTTGGCAGGCACAGGCCTAACCATTTCCTTAGCAGTGCGTGACCTGGACAAGCAGAGGGAGGATGGGAGACCAGCCTCCAGTCTCCACCCCTCTCCCATGAAACCAGTTGGTTTCTGGGGAGGAGAGGAGAGGAAGCATGTCTCGCCTCTCCTGGTTCCCACCCAGTGCCACGGGAAAATGGGAGTCCCTGCTACCATTAAGCAGTGACAGTGTGCTCACAAGGCTGCCAACTCTGACCTCTACGAAACAGGGACCCCAATTTGCAAACTGGAAACCTACTCTTATTCCTGTCTGGAACCAAACACTTGAGAATCAACTTTTCCCCAATTTGAAATCCAGATCTCAACCTGATAGGTATGTTATGGCCAGGTAGTGGTAGAAACCTCCACATAAACTTCTGTCTCCCTATATTGGCCTCAAAAAAAAAAAAAAAAAAATAGAAAACCAGGAGCTCCTGGCTCCTGGCTTTGGCCAGGGAAGCCCCAGCCATTGCAGCTGTTTAGGGAGTGAACCAGCAGTTAGAAGATCTCTCTGTGTCTATGATTCTCTCTTTGTAACTTTGCCTTTCAAATAAATAAATCGGAAAAGAGAGGAGAGGAAAGGAGAAGAGAATTCAACTCAGGGTTATAATAAAAGGTTAGCATTTGGTCCAAAGGGATGCTGAGTTTTTTCAGAGAAATATGCAGTTATTATAAAATATCATTAAGTACAGTAAAAGATTTATCAAGTACAAAAATACTTCACACCCTTTAATACTCTCGACCCAATGTGTTGAGGATATTGAGCTGTATTGGTCCCTGGCTAGAGTATTCTCAGAATACAAACACTCACAACAACTGTTACCTACCTGGAGAATGGTAAATAAACCCAATATCTGTCTGAAAAGACAAGAATAGGGTGAGGGTTAGATAGGGCCGCCAGCAGAGATTTGGAAAACCAGCTCACCCAGTGGCAATACTGGTTACAGGTGCTTGAGCACATTCTGTGCCTTGACCCCTTTTACCTTTTACCTTACAGCAAGCAAGAAGCTACAACCATTAGAACCTCCTCTCCGCAGAGGAGGATATGAGTTTGGAGAAGTGCCTCAAGTTTTTTTGTTTTGTTTTGTTTTGTTTTTCAAGATGTATTTATTTATTTGAGAGGCAGAGTTACAGACAGAGAGAGGAAGAGACAGAGAGGTCTTTCATCTGCTGGTTCACTCTCCAAATGGCTGCAATGGCCAGTGCTGGGCCAGGCTGAAGCTAGGGGCCAGGAGCTTCATCTGGGTAGTCCACATGGGTGCAGGGGCCCAAGCACTTGGGCCATCTTCTGCTGCTTTCCCTGGAATTTGCAGACAGCCAGCTAGGAAGAGGAGTAGCCAGGCCATGAACCGGTGCCCAATGGAATGCTGGCGCCACAGGTGGAGGCTTAACCCACTGTGCCACAGTGCTGGCCCCAGTGCCCCAAGTTTTGTTAACTAGTGAGTGAGGTGGTCAGCCTATCCTTAATGCTATGCAGTGCCGCCCAGCAGGGACCCTTCCCTACTTCCAGGTGGGGGAAGGGTGTCTTCCATCCTTGAGGAAGCGGATGATCTAGGTGGAATTGGTAAAGACACAGGTTTTTTCCTTTCCACATGGGGCAGTGGTTTCCAACAGAGGCCTGGGGGATGCAGCGCAGGATTCAAGGTGTTGTGTGTGGAACAAGGGCCACACAGCGTTCTGGACTCTCATGTACGGCTCTTCTGAAGCTTGCATAGATCCGTCCCTGGACCCTGTATGTGGGCGTGCTGTGAAACGCTGTGACCCACTTGACTCCCGTAGGCAAAGACCTCTTAGAACAATTCACAAGAGAAAATTTTGATAAACTGGACTTGGTCAAATGTAAAACTTCTGCTCTTTGAAAGACACCATTCAGGCTGGTGTTGTAGCACACCAATTGTGACGCTGGTGTCCCGTAAAAGAGGATCTGTTCCACTCCTGGCTGCTCTGCATACAATCCGGCTCCCTGCTAATGTGCCTAGGAAGGTAGCGGGAGATGGGCCAAGTACTTGGAACCCTGCCACTCAAGTGGGAGACCAGGATGGAGTTCCTGGCTCCTGGCTTCAGCTTGGGCCAGACCTGGCTATATTAGCCATTTGGGGAGTGAACCAGTAGACAGAAGATTTCTCTCTTTCTTGTTCTGCCTTTCTGATAAACAAATAAATAAATTTTAAAAAACACATTAAGGGGCCAGCACCATGGTGCGCTAGGTTAATCCTCTGCCTGCGGCACCGGCATCCCATATGGGCGCCAGTTCTAGTCCCGGTCGCTCATCTTCCAGTCCAGCTCTTTGCTATGGCCTGGAATAGCAGTGGAGGATGGCCCAGGTGCTTGGGCCTCTGCACCCACATGGGAGACCTGAAGGAGGCTCCTGGCTTCTGGCTTTGGATCAGCACAGTTCCAGCCATTACAGCCATTTGGGGAGTGAACCAACGGAAGGAAGACCATTCTCTCCGTCTGTCTTTCTCATTGTCTGTAACTCTACCTGTCAAATAAATAAATAAAATCTTTTAAAAAAACACATTAAGACATACTTAAAAAAGACAAAGAGGCCTGAGAAAATGAAGGGACAGTCATATACTGGAGAAAATATTTGCAAATCATACATTAATGGTAAGAAAATAGAGGCAGGTGTTGGACTACAGCTTGGGGTGCCTGCATCCCGTATTGGAACTTTGAGTCCCAGCTGCTCCACTTCTTTTTTTCCCTCTCTTTCTTTCTGTCTCTCTCTCTCTTCTGTAAGATCCATTTATTTCATTTGAAAGGCAGAGTTACAGAGAGAGAGAGAGAGATAAAGAGAGAGAGAGAGATCTTCTATCCTCTATCCCATTCCCCAAATGGCTGGAACGGCTGGAGCTGGGCCAGACCGAAGCCAGGAGCCAGGAGCCTTTGGGTCCCCCAAACTGGCATAGGGACCCAAGTACTTGGGCATCCTCTGTCACCTTCCCAGGTACACCAGATTGGAAATGGAGCAGCCAGGGCTTGAACAGGCATCAGGCAGCGGCCCCACCCACAAAGACACAGTGCCAGCCCCATTGCTCCACTTCTGAACCAGCTTCCTGCTGGTGCCTCCTAGGAGGCAGCTGATGATGGCTCAGGTACTTGGGTCTCTGCCACCCATGGAGACCAAGATGTAGTTCATAGCGCCTGTCTTTACCCTGACCTAGCCCTGGGCTATTGCAGGCATTTGGGAAATGAACCAACAGAAGGAAGATATTTTTCTGTCTCTCTCATACTCTGCTTTTCAAATAAATCTTAAAAAAAAAAAACAGTAAGAAAACAATCCAATAAAAGTGAGCAAAAGATTTGAATGGATACTTCATTGAAGACGATACATAGGTGACAAGTACATGAGAAAATGCTGAACATTATTAGTCCTCAGGGAAGTATAAATAGAATCACAAGGAGATAACGCTGCCAACTATTAGTATGGTTAAGACAGACTAAATCAAGTGTTGACTAGAGCAACTGGAATTCTAATACATAGCTGATAGGAATATAAAAATGTTAAAACTGTTCGTGAATTTTTGAGAAAAGCGTTGTTAGGAATTTGCTTTAAAAGTGAAACGTGGGGTAGGCATTTGGCCTAGTGATTGAGACGTCAGTGGGGATACCTACATCCTGTATTGAAGTGCCTGGATTCAAGTTCTGGTTCTGCTCCTGCTTTTACCTTCCTGCTAATACAGACCCTGGGAGGCAGCAGGTGATGGCTCTAGGAAGTGGAAATAATCTATACTAACAAAAGCCAGGGCCATGGTTGCCTAGGGAAGGCAGGAAGGGAGGAAGTGGGATGGAGGTGAGAGGAAAAGATCGCTGAGGGGCATAACAACTTCTTGGAATGATAGATGTGCGATGTTCCTTATCTTCATTGTGATGATGTATGTATTTTAAAATGTACATTTAAAAAAATAAAGTTTATTTGTTTTTATTTATTTGAATGACAGTGTTAAAGAGTGAAACGGAGACAGAGAAAAAGAGGTCTCCCATCCTCTGGTTCACTCCTCAAATGCCCACAACAGCCAGCATTGGACCAAGCCGAAGCCGGGAGTCAGGAATTCTATCTCGGTCTCCAATGTGCGTAACAGGAATCCAAGTACTTGAGCTATCATCTGCTGGCTCCCAGGGTGCACGTGAGCAGGAAACTGGATTGGAACTAGAGGCAGGACTCAAACCCAGACACTCTGATATGGCCTGTGGATATCCCAAACAATGGCTTAATCCATTATACCGTAACACTCACCCCCAAACTGCATTTTAAACATCTGTAATTCATTGTATATCAGTTGTACCCCAATAAAGCTATAACAAAGCAAAACAAAAACCCAGTCACCCCCGATGAAGCGATCACCAATAGCTGCTAACAACAGAAAAAGAGAGAGCAGCAGACATCATGTGACTTCTGCTGAGGTCACCTTGAAAACTGATGCAAGTCTGAGCAAGCCTCTAGACAGGAAATAGGGGAAGGTACATGCAAAATGATGCCTTGCAGATCAGTCAGCAAAATCTACACTCGGGAACATTCTAGAAGTTGCCTTAATAAGTAAGTAAATGTATATAGACTGAGAGCCAGCTCCCTGCTATGGCCTGGGAAAGCAGTAAAGGATGACCAAGTGCTTGAGACCCTGCACTCATGTGGAAGACCTGGATGAAGTTCCTGGCTCCTGGCTTCAGCCTGTCCCCGCTCTCTGCCTTTCAAATAAAGAAGTCTAAAAATAAAATAAAATAAAATAAAATAAAATAAAATAAAATAAAATAAAATAAAATAAAAGGGACTGAGAGGTCTAACAGAATCAGAGAGATCTAAAATGCACATTAACCAATTACAATGAATGGTCCTAGTTTGTTTTCTAATTCGAACAAACTGTAAAAAAATTTGTAGCACAGTTAGGGAAATGTGGGCTCTGACTAGATGTGTAATGCTACGTGGAAAGTATAAACTTTTTAGATTTGATCATTGTATTGTGGCTCTGTGTAATAAAATTTTCTTTTTGTTTTAGAGATACATACTGAAAAGTTTTTAAAAAGGTTGTGATGGTGCTCACTTTGGAATCATGCAGAGATTAGTGTGGGCCCTTTGCAAAGACACCATGCAAATTTGTAAAGTGTTCCATATTTTAAAAATGTATAGGGGTGAACATTTGGCCAAGTGGTTAAGATGCAGGTTTAGACATCCACATCCCATAGTGGAGCACCTGGGTTTGATACACAGCTTTGAATCAGCATTTGAGCTTCCTATCACGATGCAGATCCTGGGTGACAGTTTAAGTGGTTGGGTCCCTGCCACCCATGTGAAAGACCTGGGTGAGAGGCAAACCAATGAATGAGAGCAGTCTATGTGTCTGTGTGTTTGTCTCTCTGCCTCTGGAATGAGTAAGTTTAAAACAGTATTTTTAAAGCACAGCATATTTTACCTCATGACATGAAACTTTTCCAGAGTCTCAATGTCTAAGTCTGCACCTTGCTTTTGGGAGTGAGCTGGGGGAGGGACAGGTCACGGCTGTCCATGTGATTACTCTAAGCAGTGGGAGAGAATTTACTTCCATTTCTCCTAAATTTGCCTTTCCAGTTTTTGAAGGTTGCCAGATTTAGCAACTAGAAATACAGAATGTCCACTTAAGTTTGAATTTCAGATAAACAATGACTACTATTTTAGTGTACGTATGTGCCCTGCAATATTTGGTGAGGAGCCATGCAATTTTGGGAACATATTTACAGTTATTAAATAGAATTACGGAAGGCCATTGTCTTGGGCTAAGTTCCTGCCCTGGACTCCAGCAGATAGACTGAAAATCAAAGTGGAGTGACCTGTGTTAAGGTTCCACATCACAAAACTGAAACAAAATTGTGATCTGACCTTCCAAGAAGTCAGGAAAATGAGAGGGAGCCTAATTTCTCAAACATATCAATGGATGACAATGAAGTTCCGCTACTTTGGTCCTTATCCTTTGATTCTTACAAAAATAACATGAGGCAATCTTATGTTAACCAGTTTCCCATGATTCTGTCTCCTCACCTGCCTTACAAGGAAAGTAACTTCAGAATAACCACTCCACTTTTTGCAGCCTTTCTTTTGCTACAAAATCATACGCTGCACATCCCATCATACCACTTATTCTAGTTTATGGAAAGAAGTGTTGCCCAATTCTAGAATTGCAAAAAAGGGCAATTAAGATATTAAAATTGTTGGAATATTTTTTTCCTCTTACATATCTAAAATGTATTGTTTATCTAAGATTCAGAAGTAACTGAGTAGCCGGCGCCACGGCACACTAGGCTAATCCTCTGCCTGCGGCGCCGGCACCCTGGGTTCTAGTCCCAGTCAGGGTGCCGGATTCTGTCCCGGTTGCTCCTCTTCTAGGCCAGCTCTCTGCTGTGGCCCGGGAAGGCAATGGAGGATGGCCCAAGTGCTTGGGCCCTGCACCTGCATGGGAGACCAGGAGGAAGCACCTGGCTCCTGGCTACGGATTGGCGCAGCACGCCGGCCTTAACAGCCATTTGGGGGGTGAACCAATGGAAGAAAGACCTTTCTCTCTGTCTCTCTCTCACTGTCTAACTCTGCCTGTCAAAAAAAAAAAAAAAAAAAAAAAGTAACTGAGCAGCCTGTATTTAACCTAGCAAGCTACCGTTTCCTGATTTTCCTGGACTTGGAGAATCTTAGTTTAGCCCATCATGACTCTCCAGATCTCATCTTTTCACTCTGTCATCACAGGCAGCACCTCCCTCTGGGTTTCTCCCACATTTAAGTTGGCCTTCTGGGTCTTCAGCTCCCATGTCCTGGAGACACAGATCTGAACCGTGTCCACCACGTAATGAGTGTGGGGAATTCAGCACAGCACCTAGAACTTCCGTAAGTGTCACATACTTCAGTCCTGACAATGATTCTGCCAGTTGGATATATTATTATACCATTTTACACATGAAGAATTTGTCTAAGTCACCCAGTTGGTATAGGTGGGTCCGAGTCTAGATGTTTCTGATGTAAATCTGAGACATTCCCCTAGACCCAAGGAGCCCTGCGTGAGTCTCCGTAACTGTTTCACCAAGCCGTCTCCTTTATGTGGTGCTTACTTGGAATCTCCCGATCTCTGCGTTGTATCTCAACACTGAAGAGTTCATCACCTGCAAGGGAGTTTGCAGAAAGATCTTGATTATTCATCACAGCCCCATTTTCCCCAGTTCTGGATGGGAGGAAAAGTACAAGACATCCAGAAGTCATCGGTTGCTCTCTAACAGTTGACACTTGAACATAGTTTTTCTCGTTTAATTCTCAGAATGCCCTGTGAGGTTCAGCTGTTAAGTTCCATTTTATTGATTAAAAAAATTCATCAGGGAGGCCAATTCCCTTGCTGCAGGTTAACACAAAACAAGGTGTTGCAATCAACTTTTCTCACTACATCTAGTCCCATTTATCTGCTGTGTGCCCAAGAACATGTAAACTCTTCAAGAGGACAAGGCCTCCTTGTTCTCCCTGGCCCTGAGCTGAGTACATAGAGGTCACTTGATAAACATATGGTCATCGCTGTTACTGGCTCCCTCTGGTAGCAAATGGAGTATTTCATTCTGAGGGCCTTCAGTGGCACGAGAATCCTGCCACACAGGAGGAGGAGGCCGGCAGGTGGCAATCCAGATATGTATTGAAGGAATGAGGCTGCCAGAGGGAGAGAAGAAGCTGATGGTGATGCTGCCTTGCAGTCAGAAGTGACCCTGGCTCTAAGGATGGAGGCTGGGGCTTGAAATGCTTCCCAGGGTTGAGGTGAGACAAGAAAACGGACCCATCTTGCCAGGGACCGGCTTCGTTCCTCACCTGGATTGAAATGATCTCATCGAAGAATTTTGAAGGAACCTCATAGAAATTCTGGAAGAAGATCTGCAGCAGAGAGAATTGGGGTAAGGGTAAAAGGTGCTTTTTCTACCGCTTCACCCAAGGACTTGGTAAATAATGTCCTCTCCCTCCCAGTTTTGCCCGTTTCAATGACTTTCACTGTACTGTGACCCTATGCATATGCAGGGGCAGAAGCCTCGAAGGATCCTGGGGGGGGGGGGTTTCTGCCCAGGTGAAAAGGAGGGGAAATGGCTCTCCAGAGGACCTAGCAGCTCAAGGCCTAGCTGTCCCATGATGGAGACTGGAGTCATCACCTCCTTCTAGTTTGCCCTATCAGTCCACTCCGCCTCCTCTCCCTGCAAAAATCAGAACCTCCTTTCCCAAATACAACCTAGCCCTGCCACTCTCCTGCTTACGCCCGGCATAGCTCCTGAGTACCGTCCACAATGGGTCCTCAGGGTTCCCTTCCAGCCACTCCCCTCCCACCACATCATATCTGCAGTTCTTCCCTCAAGCCTAGACTTTAAAAACACTGTTCCTTTTTCCTGAATTATCTTCCCCCATCCTACCCATCTTTCCCTGGTAGATTCTTCCTTCAAGGTTGACGGAGCCGTTTCTGAGTCCTCTCCACTACCTGCAGCCTCATTGCTCACTTCCTCCTCCAAGCCTCCACTGCGCTGTTATTCGATAAGTATGGAGCACCAACTACGTATCTGACACAGTGCGAGAATCTGGGGCTCCTGCAGTGATGAGATGTATGCAACATGGACTGCATTTCACAGCTCCATTAGTATTATTCCCAGACCTCTGTCAGCTGCAGGCTTCCCCCATTGTAATTGTTTATGGGTTCAGGTGCTGTGTACCTGACTAGACACTAGCCCCTCAACTACAGGCTTCACAGTGCCAACTACAGTGCCCGGAGCTCAGTAGATGCTGGTAGAACAAGTACTTGAAGACACTCCGGTCAAGAATCAAGCTTGCTGCCTCCTTGCAGGAATTCTCAGCCCTTGGCAGGCTGCTATGTCCAACATGCCCTCTTCAGCCCACCTCATTGAAGAAAGGGTTGTTTCCCATCTTGATCCGTGTGTGGTGCTGCTGACTTCCAATGATCACCTTCACCACTGGCCTGATGTTGTTGCCCATGAGCTGTCGGGCTTCATACACCTTCACCCGAACCTACAGAGAAGAACACATGGGAGAACTGACCTTGGGCCCCCCTTCTCCAGCCAGCACTGGACTCTCAAGAACAAAATTGTTGTGACAAGGAGTTGGGCTTACAGAGGCAGGCTTGGGTCATCACTGTGAGGAGCTGGGTTTGGGGGCCAGCATTTGGTACAGTGGTTAGGATGCCCCTTGGGACACCTGCATCCCATATCCGAGTGCCTATAGGTTTGAGTTCCAGCTTTGCTTCCTGAAAATACACATCCTGGGAGCCATCAAGTGATGGCAAATACTTGAGTTCTTGCCACCCACACAGGAGACCCAGATGGATTTCTAGCCTCTTGGCTTCAGCCTGGCCCACCCCTGGCTGTTGTGGGTGTTTGGGAGTCAATCAGCAGATGGAAGATCTTTGTCTCTCAAATGAAAAAGTACTTTTCAGAAAAAAAGATTAAGAGCTGCGTTTTGTGCTGAGAACACTGGAGCTTTATAAGCAGGCACATGACTCCATGAGAACAGCATCTCTGAAAGAACACCTTGGCTAGAGAATGGACAGGAGAGAGCTGTTGGCGTGCAGCTCAGGAGGAGGCTATCAGTGTGGTCTGGGAAAGCAAAGGTGGAGGCTGAGGCCAAGGAATGGAAGTGGCAATGGAGCACTGGGGGCAGTCGGGTGCTATGAAGAGCTAGGACTTGCCATTGACTGGATGGAGGAAGAGGGGCAGTCAGGGGTGACTCACAGCTTCTGGGTATGTGACAGGCCAGGGAGCATCAAAAACATGGTGGAAATGTCAGGCCACAGGTTAGAGATCAGAGGGAAGTTGATGAGGCATGGGATGGGGCTTCCTGAATTCTCATGGAAACAGTGTAATAAGGATCTGGAACCTGAAGCTGGGTCTGAGCTCTGACCTTCTACTGTAACCTTGTGGAGAGGGGATATCCTAGGAACACAGGGAGGTTGTCAGGCTGGTCCCATGACTTTCAACACTAGAGAGTCCTCACCTGAAAGTGCTGAGGCTTTGAGCATTGAACCCTGTGCAGGGTGGGGCTGAGAGCCATCAGCTTCTGCCTGGCCGCTTCTCTTGCAGTTATGCCCAGGAGGTCTTCATCCCCTGGGGAAACACAATCCAGGGTGGGCCCAGAGGCTGGGGCGCATGAGGTTTTGAGGCATATTCCCCAGGTCATCATTCTGTCCCCAGTGAGCAGCTCCAAATAAAAACCATGGCCAAGACTCTCTAATAGGGTCATATGCTCTCCCCAGAACATTCCCATGGCTCCCTCCCACCCTCACTAATTCAATCCCTGGACCTGTGAGGGCTCCTGGAAGTAGCCATCCTTGTCTCCCTCTGCAGCCCATTGGAGGCTGGGCCGTATGTCTAGAGAAGACAAGTGGATACACTGGAATGACAAATGGCCTCAGCTAGCTGTCTGGATATCTGGCCTCTAGATCCCTGTAGCTTCCAGGTACCCTGACCTGTTCACACTCAAGGGATGAATCTTGAAGGGCCCACAGAACCCACTCAGCTATGCTTGGAGAAGGCCAGGGGTAAACCCCAGGGAATGACATACATGTCTTCTCAATATCCTGGTTGGTCATCTGGGCCACCTGGAGGGTGACAGTACACTGCAAAGCAAAGGCAAGGGAACTGTGCTACTTGGCCAAGTCACAGCACCCAAACAGCATCCAGACTGGCTGGGTTCAAGTCCAGTGCTCCTGACAGGTATGTGTGTGTGAGAGAGAGATACTGGCCATGGTATAGGTGCCAGCCACAACATGGGTGAATGTGCAGTCTGGGAGAAGGGTTATAAACTGGTGAGCAGAAAACCATGGGGTGCATTGGAGGGGATTTGGAAAATAAAGGAGCCACATCACAGTGGTAGGGGCAGAAGGGGATGCAGTGGGGCTGGGGAGGGAGGGAGGGATAACTTGGGACCAGTCCAGAACCATGGTGCTAACAGCTCTTCCCTCTGGCCCAACATCTTCTGACTTCATGTGGGACTTCCTGCAAACACTCCATAACTGACCACCTACCTACAAGCAATTGTGTTCCTCATCCAGCCTTCCCTGGGATTGCCCACACATACTCTCTAAGTGCCTGAAACAATCTGGCCAAAGTCATAACTCACCAGCACAGACCACAAGCCCCAGGCGGCCCACCCAGCCTCAGCTCTCTCATCCCCCCACCATGTGCCAGCAGGGCAAGCCACCCACCCTTCCTGAAACTGGCCATATTCTCCATGCATTTTATGTCCCTGCCTGGATTTGTCTTCATCTTCTGTCTACTTCCTGACGATTCATCCAAGATATGGAATATATGAACAGACAATGGCTGAACCATATAGGAAAATAGACCTAGAACCTACAATCTGTAGCAACCAGCCCAGGGGTCTAGCCCATTATCCACAGTAACCATCCCAGGACACAAGTCTGCTCCATGTCAGACTTGAAGAAAGCCAGAATGCTGTCTCTAGCAACAATCCAGGAAGCCAAAAATAATAATCAGCCCCAAATGGCCACAACTCAATAACTGACAGCTGCTCTAATTTTTGTCCTAACTTTCAACATAGGATCAACTGGTAAAAGCCAAACATCTACCACTAGTCAATCATGTAGGATGCTAGGCTTCTAGTTAGCCCACTTTTGCTTCCCCAGGCCAAAAGCCTTCATTACCTCCCAAGAGGAATTATTTACTCCCTCCTGACCTCGGAGGCCCGAAGCTACTGAGACCTGTACAGAGTGTGTTAGAGCAACTGCCGCTGTGAGTGGTGCCACTCAAACACCCTGTGGGCTCCACTGCATTCTGTATCCCAGTGCCTAGCACAATGGCTGACTCCCAGGGGAAGGCCAATTAACCCAACTAATGAGATGGATGAGCCAATGAATGGCATAATGGGGGAGCCAGGAGGTGATTGCTGTGTGATGGGGACCACCCAGGACCAGTGCAGGAAGTGCTCTTGTGGAGTGGGGTGGGACACTGGGCCTGTCCCCCTGGAGTGGAGAAGCTCAGCTTCCCCGGCTGCCCCCATTCTTCCAGCTGCCTAGTGCGGGCCTGACTCACATCTGTGGGCTTCATGGAATGGTTGAGCAGGATCAGGCCCTTCACATACAGGACCTCAGTTCGTTTCACCAATGGCTCCAGCAGGACTGTGGCCAGGCCAATGAACCTGGGGAGACGAGGCGCAGGTATGAGATCCTGAGGCAAGGATGTTATCTACAGAGGTTGTATTGCCCACAGAAACTAAAGAAGAACGCAGTGAGTGGGGGCACCCACCAGAGGTCACAGGGCTCTCAACTCTGTGGAAACTGGCTTTGGGCTTCCAGGGAAGGAACAGCCGACTGGACCAGGGGAGAGCACCTGACTGAAACTGGGCCGATCAGACTCTGCGTTCTGGTGATTTTGATGTCGAATGCCATAGCTCAGCCTCAGCGAGACATTAGTCTCAGCCAGGCGCTGGGATGGGGCTACGATGGGAAGCCAGGGTTCAGCAGAGACAGCACAGAATCCTGAGTTCTCCAGTTCCTCATCCTAGCTAGTTTGCACTCCCAGTCTTGCTACCCTAATTTTTAATTTTTTTTTTTTGACAGACAGAGTGGACAGTGAGAGAGAGAGACAGAGAGAAAGGTCTTCCTTTACCGTTGTTGGTTCACCCTCCAATGGCCGCTGCGGCCGGTGTACCGCGCTGATCAGATGGCAGGAGCCAGGTACTTATCCTGGTCTCCCATGGGGTGCAGGGCCCAAGCACTTGGGCCATCCTCCACTGCACTCCCTGGCCACAGCAGAGAGCTGGACTGAAAGAGGAACAACCAGGACAGAATCCAGCGCCCCGACCGGGACTAGAACCCGGTGTGCTAGCGCTGCAAGGCAGAGGATTAGCCTAGTGAGCCGCGGCTCTGACTTTTTTTTTTTTTTTTTTTTTTTTTAAGCCAGCTGGAGTGGGTTCTGGCCATGCATCTGAATGAGCTACAGATTAGAGACAAGAGATACATGTACCCTGTGCAGCTGCCTTGGGCAGAGAGTTAGGAGCCTCCTGTCTCTCACCTTTCTTTCTTCTTTGAGCCCATGTCCAGAAGGACAACTTGCAGGAAGGAGTCATTTTCCAAGGGGCGGTTCCGGAGGTGCCAGATAAGGGTCTGTGGGGGACACCAAGAGGTGAGCATCCTCCCTCGGCCCTGCCCATGCTTTCCAGGAAGGGAGAAAATTGTGGGGAATGAGTGGACATCGTGTCTCTCTAAGATTGAGGATCCTCCTGAAGAGATGGCATGGGGCATCCTGCTGGGGCGTCCCTGGCTTCAGCTGCAGTATCATGAGTGTGCCAAGGAGTTCAGGGGATTGAGGCATGGCATGGGTGTGGACAGAAGATAAGAGAGAATCCTGCACGTGGAGCCTTGTCTCTGTTTTGGGCTTCTAGGAGCATCAGGTTGACCCAGTTGCACTAGTTGATAAGTTAGGTCATGGTCCATCCCAAGTGGAAGAGAAGAGCCAAGAACAGCTGTGGGCAGATGTGGGCTTCATAGTCTTGTCAGACCAGAGACCATTCCTCAGGGCCAAATGCTCCAGCCTTGAGAAAAGTTTGGGGCTCCCCAGACCTCGGAGCCCCTGCCTGAACTCCACTGCTGTCCCTTTGCTACTGGGGTTGTGATTTCTCCTGGGCTCGCCCTGGAGTTACCTCATTCCATATAGGCTCGTTCCCTTCCACCACACGAGTTTTCTTCTTGGTATCTGCAAAGACACCAGGGGCTGGCGTGAGTTGGAGGAAATATTTCAACAGGTGGGCTGGAGTGGGGTAAAGAAAGGCAAGGGGAGCTCACACAGCTTCAGGTGTAGGCATCAATCGTTTTTCTTTTTCTCTGGGGATTTCAGAATGTCTCACTTCTCATCACCCTGGGTGACAGAGAATGCTTACATGTTCATTTCATTTTCTTCCTGTGTCATATATAGTTCCCAGAGACTTGCAGCCACGTGGGGCTGTGTGAGGCGTTCTAGCCAATGGTGTGTGGGAACTCCTGCCAACAAATACCACTAAAATCCCCCATGAGATTCTCCATTCTCCTTCTCTCCTCTCCCCACAGTTGGCAGGGTGGTGCTGGGGTGACTTCTCATCCACAAGGGGCAACAGCCGGACTGGAGAGAGTCACACAGGACAGCTGCCTGACCAGCACTATTACCCATGCAGGACTCAGTGTGAGTGCGAGGGAAAGTTTATCGTTAAGCCACCAAGCTGTTCAGAGTTTATTACCAGAGCAAAGCCTAGAGTAACCTAAGATACCCCGAACATCTCTAATAGTTTAAAGCTCTCCAGCCGCTAAAATCTCCTTTCCCCAGAAATATCTTTACCAAAAGACACCATTAGCACTACAAAAGCATCTCTAAATTGTTCAGTTAGGGGCTGGCACTGTTGCACAGCAAGTTAAGCTGCTGTCTGCAGCACCAGCATCCCATCTAGGCAGCTGTTCAAGTCCCGGTTTCTCCACTTTCTTTCTTTTTTTTTTTTAAGATTTATTTATTTTTATTTGAAAGTCAAAGTTACAGAGAGAGAAGAGATGCAGAGAGAGAAAGAGAGGCAGAGAAAGAGAGGTCTTCCATCCACTGGTTCACTCCCCAATTGGCTGCAACAGCTGGAGCTGCACCGATCTGAAGCCAGGAGTCAGGAGCTTCTTCCTGGTCTCCCATGCAGGTGCAGGGGCCCAAGGACTTGGACCATCCTCTACTGCTTTCCCAGGCCATAGCAGAGAGCTGGATCAGAAGTGGAGCAACCAGGACTCGAACCAGAGCCCATATGGGATGCCGGTACTGTAGGTGGCAGCTTTACCTGCTATGCCACAGCGCTGGCCCCGGCTGCTCCACTTTCCATCCAGCTCCCTGCTAATATGCCTGGGAAAGAAGATGTGGGCCCCTGCCACCCACATGGGAGACCTGGATGAAGTTCCTGGCTCCTGGCTCCAGCCTTCTGGGGAGTGAACCAGTGGATGGAAGTTCTCTCTCTCTCTCTTTCTCTCTTTCTCTGTAATTCTTTCAAATAAATAAATCTTTCAAAAAATAAATGAATTGTTAAATTACTTTGAGCTTGTTTCCAGGGAAAGTGTGTGTGTGTGTGTGTGTGTGTATGTGTTCGCGCACATATGGACGGTGAGAAGGGTATAGGGTAGGGAATAGTGTATGGAGGAGACACTGGGAAGAACAAACAAAAGAAATGAAACATATCAACCACAAACATGCAGTTTTAAGGCTGTGTGGATACTGAGGCAGGCACTGCGGCACAGCAGGCTAAGTCACAGCTTGGGACCGATCCGGTGCTGGAGTTCCTAGGGTTGTTCCTGCCTCCACCTTCATTCCTGATCCAGCTTCCTGCTAATGGGCGTGAGGAGCAGCAGGTGACGGACGTTTCAGGTACTTGTGTCCCTGCCACACATCTGGGATACCCAAAGGGGGTTCTTTTTTTTTTTTTTTTTTTTAATTTGAGAGGTGGAGTTACAGTGAGAGGGAGAGACAGAGATAAGGTGTTTTTTGTTTTTTTGTTTTGTTTTGTTTTGTTTTGTTTTTTGACAGGCAGTTAGACAGTGAGAGAGACAGAGAGAAAGGTCTTCCTTTTTCCGTTGGTTCACCCCCCAAATGGCCGCCAGGAGTCAGATGCTTCCTCCCTCGTCTCTAGAGCACTTGGGCCATCCTCCACTGCCTTCCCCGGGCCACAGCAGAGAGCTGGACTGGAAGAGGAGCAACTGGGACAGAACCAGTGCCCCAACCGGGACTAGAACCCAGGGTACTGGCGCTGCAGGCAGAAGATTAGCCTAGTGAGCCAGGGCGCCAGCGAGATAAGGGTTTCTATCCTCTGGTTCACTCCCCAAATGGCTGCAACAGCCAGAGCTGCGCTGATCTGAAGCCAGGAAACAGGAGTTTCTTCCAGGTCTCCCACATGGGTGCAGGGGCCCAAGCACTTGGGCCATCTTCTACTGCTTTCCAAGGCCACAGCAGAGAGCTGGATCGGAAGAGGAGTAGCCAGGACTAGAACCAGTGCCCATATGGGATGCCAGCACCACTGGTGGAGGATTAACCTCCTGCGCCACAGGGCTGGCCCCCCCGAATGGGGTTCTTAGCTCCTGGCTTCTGCCTGGGCTAACCCCAGCTGTTGCAGGCATGTGGGAAATGAACCAGTAGAAGCTGTCTATCTGTCTTTCTGTCTCGGTCCCTCTCTGTCATTCTGCTTTTCAAATAAATACATCTTGTTTTTAAAAAGGGATCTGTGGGTATATATATCTATGGGTAAAAACCCAGGGCTCTGCATTTTATAAGAGAGATTTCTAGAAGGAGAAAGACGGTGCCCACAGTGCGGTGGGGAAGATGGCATGGAATCAGTTAGCTGCAAGTCCCTTGCCTGGCTAACCATAAAATGAGTCAGTCAAGGCAAATATGTACTGAACTCCCACGTCTTTAAACCTGCACCTGGAGACATAAGTCACCATCACCCCGTGATTCTGAAGTCCCAAATGTTCAGTCTTTGAGTGTTGTCATGTTCCAAAACAGTTTCACAGACCAGAAAAAAAGAATTTCATTCCTTCCTCGTGTAGGAGGAATTTGTAGGAACTACAACCATTTCTCAGTAGGGATTGGCTCCTGGACACTTGGGGGACACCAAAATCCACAGGTGCTCCAGTCCCTTATGTAAAAGGGTACAGTGTTTGTACAAGAGCCTATGCACATCCTCCTGCATGGTTGCTGTCGCTGCTAGAGGACTTAAAACACCGAACACAGGTAAATACCACATAAACAGCTGCTACTCTAGAAAAAACAATCTTCACATATTCAGTGCACAGTTAATTTTTTTTCTTGAATATCTCTGATCTGTGCTTGCTTGAATCTGCAAATGAGGAACTCAGGAATACAGAGGGTGACTGTATGTATCTTCATATCCTATTTTCCCTTGGGTTTTCTCACTCCCACTCCTTACTGTTCCTGGAAAATCACATTGGCCTGTGTCCACCTCCTTTACTCTCCACCATTTTTACTTCCCTTCTTGCCTTTTGACTCCCAGCTCTTTGATATTTAAATATATTTAATCCTTCTCCTCTTTCACTCCCCTCCTTCCCAACCTTGGATTTCTTTTTTCCTTACCTACAAAAAAAAAAAAAAAAAAAACAAACAAACAAACAAAAAAAAAACTTGCCTCTGTCTACTTCATGGAGTTGTGGTGAGGAGCAAACATCACCCCAAAGTAATTAATACTATAGGAGAATTAGTACTAGAAGTTGTACTAAGGGTTGGACATGAGTGGTCTTTTTTTTTTTTTTAAGATTTTTATTTTATTTGAAAGAGTGACAAAGAGAGGGAGAAAGAGAGAGAGAGAGTGTGCGTGAGGGAGAACGATCTTCCATCCACTGGTTCACTCCCTAAATGGCAGCAACAGCTAGGGCTGGGCCAGGTGAAGCCAGGGGCCCCATCTTCTGCTGCTTCCCGGGCATATTAGCAGGGTGCTAGATTGGAAGCAGAGCAGCTGGGCTCAAATTAGTACTCCAATATGGGATGCCATCGTCACAGGTGGCCGCTTAACCCACTGCATCACAATGCCAGCCCCACCAATAGTCTTTTTAAATCCTCATCTCTACCCTATGAAACAAGACCTTCCCCTGCCCCCCAAACCTCAGTTTAAGGCACAGCCCTAGTCCCTGGGAGGAGTCAAGAAGTGTTATCTGCTTCTTTTCCCATAGCCATTCCTTGGAAAAGATGGGAGGCAGAGGAATCATAATAAGAGAAACAGCAGCGAATAAAAGACCAAGTTTTGGAAGAACTGGACGGTGCTCACTTCATCTTTGCTGCACACAGAACATCTTTCACGTGGCAGGATGCCCATCAACTTATTCTTTTCACTGATTACATGTTGCCTCTCAGAGCAGCTCCTTCCCACTCAGGATCCTGGGTCTCACCTCTGAAGTTGACGGCCACACAGGGCTTGGGTGGAGGGCTTAGGGGCGGCTCAATTTTGGCCGACTCCACGATAAGCCGCAGCATCTCCGAGATACTTCCTCTCTTTCCCTCCGCAGTGCTACAGCCTCCTTCTTGGAGCTCCTTGGTCCAAGGCTTCTCCCAGGGCTCATGGGAGTGAGTGGAACTTGGCCATAGAGAGGATGTCACAAACGGGGGTGGTTCTTGATTCTAGAGAGGAATCAATGGGAATGAAAGGAGGAAGTAACACAGCACGTAAGAAGTGAGTGACTTGAGGTCACTGGGCATGGACAAACCAAACAATCTGGCTGCTTTGACATTTCCTCTTTCTTTTTTCTTCTATTCTTGCTATACTTTTGAGTTCAAGATCGGGCATAATGGTAATATTTTCTCTTAATTCAAACAAGTTGTCCAGAGTGAATCATTGCCAAGGTCACACAATTGAGATGGGAAAGCAAGAGACATGAGACCATTTAAGAAATAATATAAGGAAATCAGGACTATCTCTATGACGTCTTGGGGAAGTCCTTACAAATGAGGAAACAGAATATTGAGGCATTCTTCTTTCTCAAGGAAACCTAAGTTTAGATATGACTCCCTATTTTAACAATGGAAAATCAACTTTTTATTAATGCACGCTAGGGGATGGCATTTGGCTTAGTAGTTAAGCTATGGATTGAGATGCTCACACCCCATATCAGAGTGCCTGGGTCCGAGTCCTGGTTCCACTCTTGATTCCAGCTTCCTGCTAATGCATACCCTGGGAGGCAGCAGGTAATGGCTCAGGTAGTTGGGTTTCTGCCAACAGCATGGGGAGACTTAGATTGAGTTTCTGGTTCCTAGTTGGTGCAGTCCTAGCCATTGTGGGGATTTGGAAAGTGAACTACCATGTGGAAGTTCTCTCTGTCTCTTAAATAAATAAGTAAATCAATAATGGAAATCTATACTAGTTGAGTTTGTAACATTTAAGGAAACATCTCAAGGCCAATACAGTTTTCTGAGGCCGTCTTGCTCTGGTGGCCCTAACACATGAGCATGGAGTGGGTCATTTGCTTCTGTTGTCTACCTTGATGCCCAAACCTTGTTTAATACATCTTGTATCTTATCCAGTGTCGAGAATGAAAATTAATGAATTTTTGGGGCCAGTGCTGTGGCTCACTAGGCTAATCCTTTACCTGCGGTGCCAGCACTCCAGGTTCTAGTCCCGGTTGGGGCACCGGTTCTGTCCCAGTTGCCCCTCTTCTAGTCCAGCTCTCTGCTGTGGCCCAGGAAGGCAGTGGAGGATGGCCCAAGTGCTTGGGCCCTGCACCCACATGGGAGACCAGGAGGAAGCACCTGGCTCCTGGCTTTGGATCGGCACAGCACGCCGGCTGTGGTGGCCATTTTGGGGGTGAACCAACGGAAGGAAGACCTTTCTCTCTGTCTCTTTTCCTCACTAACTCTGCCTGTCCAAAAAAAAAAAAAAAAGAAAAGAAAATTAATGAATTTTTTAAATGTGTATTAATTAATCAAACTAATCAGGGGTAAGCTTACTGTGCATTCTAAAAGATGCAGGACATTCAAAGACTAAAATACTGGATATGTGATACTTTCTATTGCAGCAGAATTTTATTTTATTTTTTAAAGATTAATTTTATATATTGCAAAGTCAGAATTACGGGGGGGAGAGAGAGACAGAGGGAGAGAGGGAGAGAGAGAGATCTTTCATCCACTGGTTCACTCCCCAAATGGCCAGAACAGCAGGGGCTGGGCCAGGCTGAAGCCAGGAGCCAGGAGCTTCTTCCGGGTCTCCCACATGGGTGCAGAGGCCCAAGCACTTGGGCCATCTTCTGCTGCTTTCCCAAGCACATTAACAAGGAGCTGGATCGGAAGCGGGGCAGCTGGGACTTGAACTGGGGTCCATGTGGGATGCTGGTGGTGCAGATGGTGGCTTAATCTGCTATTCCACAGTCCTGGCCCCAGCAGTAGACTTTTTTTTTTTTTTTTCAGCAAACTTTAAAAAAAAATTTTATTCATGCCAGCCTTGTGGCATAGCAGGTTAGGCTGCCTCCGGCAATGGTGGCATCCCATATGGATACCAGATCAAGTCCCAGCTGCTCCACTTCTGAGCACTTGGATCGGGCTGAAGGTTGGAGCCTGGAATTCAACTCTGCTCTCCCCTGTGGGTGGCAGGGACTCAAATATGTGAGCCTCCTTCTGCTGCCTCCCAGACAGCACATAAGTAGGAACGCTAGACCAGAAGTGCAGGCAGGATTGGATTCCCAGGCACTTCAATATTTGATGTGGGCATCCCAAGAGGTGGCTTAACCTCTGCACCACAACACCCATCCCTAGTGCAGTAGATTAAAAAATAAAAAGTACTTCCTGGTAGTTTTGCTTGAAATCAAAATATAACATAAGGCTTTTTGCTTTGTTAGTGACACAAAAGCACATTAAATGGCTGGCATTGTTGCTCAGTAGGTTGAGTCACTGCTTGCAAGTCTTGGCCTCTCCACCCCATGTAGCTCCCTGCTAACGCAACTGCTAACGCACCTGGGAAAGCAGTGAATGACTTGGATCCCTGCCACCCACGTGAGACCAGGATGGAATTCCTGGCTCCTGGTTTTGGCCTGATCTAGCCCAGACTGTAGTGGCCATTTGAGGACTGAACCAGCAAATGGGAGATCTCTCTCTGTCTTTGTAATTCTGCCTTTTTTTTTCTAAGTTCATATAAAATGAAATTAAAAAATAAGTTTATTTAAAAAAAAAAAGCAAAGTAAGCATGACAGAAAATACCCCTAAAAAGGAAAAGACTGACAGATTTGGTTGCATAAAAATAAAAATTCATGTATAGGAAGTATACATCAAATTTAAGAGACTTATCAAAATTAGGAGAAACATTTGCAACATATTTAATATCCAAATGAGTATTAGCTTTTATGAGCTCTTGGAGTGGAATGGTCTCTGTCCCAGTGGTTAAGACACCACATGGGACGCTCGCTTCCCACATCAGAATGCCAGGATTCCGCTCTGCATTCCAGCTTCCTATGAATGCAAGCTTGGGGGCAGCAGATGGTGGCCCAAGAACTTGGGTGCTTGCTATTCACATTGAAGACTTGGGTTGAGTTCTGGGCTGCTGGCTTCAACTTGACCCAGCAGTGGCTGTTACAGGCATTTGGGAAGTAAACTAGTGGAAGGGCGATCTCTGCTCTATCTGTCTTTCAAACAAATAAAAAATAAGTAAATACAAATTATAAAAATAAAAGAGCAAGCTCTTTAAAATTAAGAAAAAAAAATGACCTCAAAGGAAAACAGGGGCAAAGTTCATACCAGATCCACAGCATTTTCAAAGTTTATTCATGTTTGTAGCTTGTATCAGTGATACCAGACCGCCCCTTTTTCTGGTCAGACTGCCTCTACAACGATTCCCCCATGCCCTGAACTGGAAAACCTCCTGTTAGGTTTCCCTGCTCTTTTCCTGCAAGTTCTTCCATTTTATGCTTTAACAATGGGCCTAATGTGTGTGTGTGTATGTGTGTGTGTGTGCGTGTGTATACTTTTTCCCTTTAAGTTCCTGCTTTTCTAGGGAGCTGCTTAAAACACGATAGCACTACACTGGTCTGACTCCAAGCCCCTCCAATCAGAACTTGCCTCGCCAGTGTTTCTGCATACCAGCTCCCTCCTACCTAACCCACAAAACCTTTCCCCAGGCCGCTGATAAGGAGTCAGCTTTGAGTATTTGCTCCAGACTCCTTGCTTGGCTACCTTGTAATGAACTTACCACAAGAGACCATGACTTCAGTATTTTGGCCTTCTGATGGGTGCAGGCGATGGGCTCATCTTGCTGTGGTAACATTAGTATTTCATTGCTTTTCATGGCTCTATAAGTTCATTGCATGGAAATACCATATTTTGTTTATCCAATTATCAGTTGATGGACATTTAGGTTGTTTCCATTTTTTTTAACGTTTTAATTGGTTTCCATATGGTTTTTTTTTTTTTTTGACAGGCAGAGTGGATAGTGAGAGAGAGAGACAGAGAGAAAGGTCTTCCTTTGCCATTGGTTCACCCTCCAATGGCCGCCGCGGACGGCGCGCTGCGGCCAGCACACCGCGCTGATCCGATGGCAGGAGCCAGGAGCCATGTGCTTTTCCTGGTCTCCCATGGGGTGGCATCCTCCACTGCACTCTGTCGCTCCCCCTCTTCATGGAGGAACGACACTAAACCCTGCCTAGGCTTCATATCCGAGTCACGGCACCATTATGTCGCTCCCCCTCTTCGTGGAGGAACGACACTAAACCCTGCCTAGGTTTCCTATCCGAGTCACGGCACCGTTATGTCGCTCCCCCTCTTCGTGGAGGAACGACACAGGACCCTGCATTGTTCTTTCGTCTGCTCGGCCCTCCCCGGGTTTGCTGCTGGTTCTTCCCAGGTTGGCTGCCGTCCCTCCCACCTCCGTGGAAGGGCGGTTCCCCCTGGCCACTTTCCCCACTTCCGCGGGGGAGCGGCACACCGCCGGCCGGCTCTCTCGGGGGCTGCACAGGTGTTCCTTCAGATAGATGTTCCTGGTGCATGTTGTCTCTCTCCTCCTTTATAGTCCTCTTCCACCAACCCCAACTCTGCTACCCACACGCCGAATACGCTGCTCTCCTCCAATCAGGAGCAGGATCAGCTCCTGCAGGTCATCACTCAAGTTGGGGAGAGGCAGCTGCGTAGAAGTTGTTACTCCCTTCTCAGCGCCATATTGTGGGAGAGCAGATGCATAGAATAAGTCTTAATTCCAGTAACAGTCTAGTCCGAGTTGCTCCCCACAGCACTCCCTGGCCACAGCAGAGAGCTGGCCTGGAAGAGGGGCAACCGGGACAGAATCCGGCGTGCTGGCGCCACAAGGCGGAGGATTAGCCTATTGAGCCGCGGCGCCGGCCGCAGTTTCCATATGTTTTTTAAAAATAGATAAATATCTATTTGTTTGAAAGGCAGAGCAATGGGGGGGGGCGGGAGAGAGAGAGAGAGAGAGATATCTTCCATCTGCTGGTTCCCTTTTCAAATGCCTGCAATAGCCAGAGCATGGGCAGTTCTAAGGAGCCTGGAACTCCATTTGGGTCTCCCATGTGGGTGACAGGGAGCCAGCATCTGCTGCTCCCAGGCTAGGCCGTAGCAGACAGTGAATGGGAAGCAGAGACAGGACTGCATCCCAGGTGCTCGGAATGGGATGTGGGCGTCCCAAGCAGTGAGTTAACCCACTGTACAACATCTGTTCTGATTGTTTCATATTTTAGCTATTGTGAATAATGCTACACTGAGCATGCATACGTTGTTTTTGTGTGGACATATATTCCAGGTCTCTTGGGTATAAACTTGGGCATGGGCTTGCTAGGTCCTACAGTAATTCTGTGTTTTAACTTTCTGCAGAATTCCAGCAAATGGAAAAATCTCTCTCTCGTCTTTCAAGAAAGAAAAGAAAAAAACAATGAAGGGGAGGCAGTTCAGGGTAGAGGTCGGGTCTGGAGGGTTGTAATCTCAGCTCCAACACGAGCCCAGCAAGCAAGACCTCCTCTGTTTCTACCTGTACCAGGACAGCAGTCATCCCTTGTCCTCGGATGCACCCCGAGGCTCCCTCTGAAGGGCTGAATCGCAGGATGGTACCAACCCTATATAAACTATGTTTTTTTTCTATGATAAAGTTTAATTTATAAATTGGGCATAGTAAGAAATTAACAACAATAAGAACAAAATAGAACAATTAAAACAATATACCTTTGGCTGGCACTGTGGCTCATTTGGTTAAACCTCCACTTGTGGTGCCAGCATCCCATATGGGTGCCGGGTTCTAGTCCCGGTTGCTCCTCTTCCAGTCCAGCTCTCTGCTGTGGCCCAGGAGGGCAGTGGAGGATGGCCCAAGAGGTTGGGCCCTGCACCCGCATGGGAGACCAGGAAGAAGCACCTGACTCCTGGCTTTGGATTGGCGTAGCTCTGGCCGTGGCGGCCATTTTGGGGATGAACCAACTGAAGGAAGGCCTTTCTCACTATCTCTCTCTCACCGTCTAACTCTATCTGTCAAATATATATATATATTTATATTCCTTCTCCACAATTTCACAAGATTCTGTCTTACCATAGATCTTAGCAATCTCAGCATACAATTTTTTCTTTACTTATTGAGTAGAGAACTTTCACTTTTTCACTTAAAAAAGATGCACTTAAGGTGCCTGCTGTGTGGCATATCCAAATTGCCAGCGCGGAACTCTTTTGGAACCATTGTTAAGTCAAAGAGAAGTGACTTGCACACAAGCTCTCCAGTTCTCCACAACTGCTCTAGTAACTGAGACACATGCTAACAGGAAGAAATGGCGAGTGGTGTATACAGCGTGGATTCGCTGGACAAGGAGACACGATCCATGCCATGAGCAGGACAGAGGCGGGAGCTGGGGACTCACTCAGGGTCTTCCACGGGGGCAGCGGGGACCCAGGTGCGTGAGCCATCACCTGGTACCTCCCAGGGTGCGCATCAGCAGGAAGCTGGAATCCAGAGTCAAGAGTTCAAAGCCAGGCACTCCAGAGGGGATGCTGGTATTGCATTGTCCTAACATTGTCCCAACTGTGGCTCCAAAGCCCGCTTCCTTTAGGGCAGGTTCCCGATTATAAGAACCAACACCACTCAGCGAAGCTCCGAACAGACGTTTTTCTTTAAATTTTCCTCATCTGTTTTTGATAAGGGTTTTTTTTTTTTTTTTAAAGAGCAGTTTTTGAACCAATGCACCTTTTTATTCCTTATAATCTATCTTTATTGTGGTGGTTTCTGTGGCTAAGAGCAAACCCCTAACAAGTAAATTCAGGGAGTGGGAGGTCTGGCGCCCTCCCCCCTTCCCCTCGGGGCGGCCATCACAGGCCGAGGGACCCCTTGGGCTGGGAGCGGCTGTAGCAGCCAGCTTCGTCCTTCGGCCTCACTTTCCCGCCATCTCCAGCCTCGAGACGAGCGCGCATTCCCCGCCCCGCCCCGCGCCTCTCCGGGCCTTGCCGCTCGCCGCCCCTCCCTTCCCCGGCAGCGATCTGCTTCCGTGTTTTCTCCGGAGCCGGGAGCGCCGGGGCGTGGAGGCGGCACCGCGCACGCGCGCAAGCGGCAGGCCCGGGCCGAGCGCGCGGCCGGGCGACCGCGGGTGAGAGAAGGGTCGGCCCCGGTGGGGGTGGCGGGCCGTGGGGGTCGCGGCCGCGGCCGGGGCGGGTGGGGGCCGCGGCCAGGGCCTCGGGGCTGCCGGGGCATGCGGGTAGTTGGCGCTGGAGCCCGGGGCAGGGACGAGCGGGCGGGTTGGGCCGGGGGCGGGCGGGGACCGCGTTTGGGCCGCCGTGACGCGGGCGCCTGGCCCGGCCCGCGGGAGTGGGGGGCGGGTGCCAGGCGGCTCCTCCTCGTCGCGAACTCTCGGTGACCTTGGCCAGGTCGCTTTAATTCTCTTAGCCGGCGGCTTGGTCTGTAAAATGGGACTCCTAAGCCCTGCGTCCAACGTGGGCCGTTTTGCGGTTCAGTGGCGGGAACCCCTCCAGGTGCCTGGAGTACCGGGCGGTTTGCCACCTCGGGGGAGAGAAAGGGCTTCCAGGCTGTCATGTTGTCCCAGGCCTGGCGTGGGTGTGGGGCGGGGAGACCCTCGTTTTTCTGTTGAAGAAAACCCAGGCTGTTACGAAGTAGTTTGCAAAACTTTGGTTTAACGCGGGACAGTGGAGACTTGAGGAAGGGGGCCCTGGCTGAGATGAGCGTCTTGGAGGTCCCCCCCCACCCCCTGCCCTCCACCACTGGCCTGCTTTTCCATTGGTGCCCGCACTCGGGTTCACCCTCCGTGGTGGGCAGAAAGAGGCCCTCAGCTTTTAAAGAATTCGTATTTGTATATCCTGTTGTTTGCTAAGACCCCTCCCACCCACATAGAAGAATTTGGTGCTGACCACGCAAGTTCAGTGCCTGTCTCTGTGAGGTCCCCGCGAACCGTGGAATCAGTCAGCTCTGCAGTGGTCCAGTTTTGTTCGAGCTTGGATATGGAGCAAGTCGTGGCGTCATAGCCATTTTGGGCAGTGGTGTGGGATCTCAGGAACCCTCCCTATGGTGGGTATGAGCAGGTCACAAAAGTGAGCATATTCGCGGGTGTAGGCTGGGAGGAATTTAAAATAAATTGACCTAAACGGAAACTTTGCACCACAGGTGGCGAGCATGCAGTTGCCCATGCCTTGACCTTGCTGCCCGTCTATGGACATGGCCCACCGGGGTGGGGAGAGAGACTTCCAGACTTCAGCTCGGCGCATGGGCACCTCGCTGCTCTTCCAGCTTTCAGTGCATGAACGGGAGCTGGACCTGGTTTTTCTGGATCATAGCTATGCTAAGCCGTGGAGTGCCCACCCCGACGCGAGTAGTGCCCGCCCCACACGCATGCTCTTTGTTACTCCCCGGCGACAACACGAAACCACCATGTGAGTTTGGGCTCTTTTCTCTTAGGGGCTGACACTGCCCTAAGTGGGCAGTGATCAGCTGGTTGGGGGATGAGAGGTGATTTTTTCTTAGGGCTGATTGGGGGGCATTGTCTGGAGAGTGTGGATGTTTAACTCAACCGTCTCTGTAAAGCAACACAAGGATATGGACGTGTGCATTCAGGGTGCCTGACAAGAGTTAGGAAAGCAAAATATCCCAGGGAAAGCAAACAGCCTTGGGTGGGGAAGCTGTTTTCTGCCAAGGGCTGTTTGCATATTTATAGCATCGATCACGGGCCATATAAAATTATCAGCTTAAAAATTAGCCTTCCACAGACTTGTTGAATTCTGAGTCTTGCCTGCGGGTTACCTAGGCAGAACCAGACCAAAGAATTTCCCAGGCCTTCTACCGCCTGCAGGCTAGACGTTCCCCACCGGAGTCTTAGATAATAGAACTTGGGTGAAAAGGAAACTGAAGAGGTTTATACTGGTGAAGAAAGACTGAGAAGTTGATTTTTAAAAAACTGCCATCCGGGATAAGATCCCTTTCACTTTAGTCCGGTGGCTTCTTGGACAGTAGCAACAGTAGCTTTTTTATGGTAGTGAATTTTGCTTTCCCTGGCTTCACACACACAGATTAGGAGCACATACCCAGGATGTTGCTTTCTCTCTCAGTGTGTTACAGACCTGTCTGTCATTCATGAGTTAATCGTCTAAACTCCTCCTAGGTCTAATTATATTTTCAGCTTGCCTATCTTAGAGTTAGGAAGTTTCATAAACTTACCAGGTGATAAGTGACACAGTTACATTAGATGAGATCTGTTTGATAGTTCTTTTGAGCTTTAAGGAATTCCTCACATTTCAAGATTTATTGATATGCTTTATTCCGATAATCAAACCATGCTCTTTTTTTTTTTTTTTTAAGATTTATTTATTTACTTGAAAGGCAGAGTTACAGAGAGGCAGAGGCCAGGGCGGGGGGATCTTCCATTGCTGGTTCACTCCCCAGATGGCCAGCAATGGCTGGAGCTGTGCCAATTGAAAGCCAGGAGCCAGGAGCTTCTTCTGAGTCTCCCACATGGGTGCAGGAGCCCAAGGACTTGAGCCATCTTCCACTGTTTTCCCAGGCTATAGTAGAGAGCTATATCGGAAGTATAGCAGGCAGATGCCCATATGGGATGCCGGCACTGAAGGTGTCGGCTTTACCTGCTATGCCACAGCACTAGCCCCACCATGCTCTTTTTAAAATATATTTATTTTTATTTATTTGGAAGGCAGAGTTAGAGAGGTCTTCCATATGCTGGTTCACTTCTCAAACGGCTACAACAGGCGGGACTAGGTCATGCCGAAGTCGGGAGCCTGGAACTCCCCCCACCCCCGCCCCATTGGTGTTTTTAATCTTACCTAATGTTTAACCTTTTCCTCAAACATGGATTTTAGTTTCGTTGAGAGATGGCTTGTATTTTTCATTTCTTACTTTTCCTCCCTGCCTTCTGTCCTTCCTTTGAAAGGCAGAGAAACAGAGAGCTGGTTCACTCCCCCAAATGGCTACAATAGCTGGGGCTTGGCCAGGGTAAAGCCAGGAGTTGAGAACTCCAGTTTCTCATGTGAATGGCAGGGGCCCAAGTACTTGGGCCATTTTCTGTGGCTTTCCCACAAGCAAGGAGCTAGATCAGAAGCAGAGCAGCTAGGACTTGAACTAGCGCTCCCAAATGGGATGCCAGTTTCAAGCAGTTGCTTAACCCCCTGTGCCAGTACCTGTATTTTGCCTCTTTAGATCCTGTCGTCGAGCCTTAATGAACCAGAGGTGCCTTGATGTTTGTTCTAAACACATGTAGAATAATGTTTTGTATTTAATTTCCCAACAACCTTAGTATTTTGTTGGCTTTTTTGGTTGTACTAGGCTCGGGAGCTGTTACTGTAGGCAATAATATACAGTAATAGACTGGCCTGGGGCATAACTGAAAAGTTCCTTTAAATAGAATTTGAAATCTTTTTCTCTGTATTGTGTAGTATTTCTTGTTGATCTTGAAAGTCCTGTGGCTGCACTAGGTGTTTCTGTGCCATGCCAAAGACAAGAGCCAAGGAACTCCCATCAAGCCTATCCGGGTCTCTCACATGGATTTTGGGTGCCCAAGTACTTCCAGGGAGCTGGGTTGGAAGTGGAGCAGCCAGGACTCAAACGGGTGCTCATATGGGGGGCTGGCATCTCAGGTGGAGTGCTGAAATGTTGGCTCCCCCCATGACCTTTTTTTTTAAAATGATATTCTGTGGAATTGATTGTTTTGGTACTTAGAAAATCATTTTCTCTTACAAATCCTTTCTCCATATATAGGCCCTAACAATGAGAATTTGGCATGTTCTAGAAACTTAGGCCACTGCGGTTTGTAGTATTTTGGCATTAAGGATGAGAGTAGAAGATAGGGAGAAATTGACAAGACTACCTCATACAGGAATTTGATTCTAAGAATGAGATCTAGTTTCTGTTTTAGAATGATCACTTTGGGGCTGGCGTTGTGGTGCAGCGGGTTAAAGCCCCAGCCTGCAGTGCAGGCATCCCATGTGGGCTGCTCTCCTTCTGATCCAGCTCTCTGCTGTGGCCTGGAAAAGCAGTTGAAGATGGCCTAAGTCCTTGAGCCCTTGCACCTACATGGAGACTTGGAAGGAGCTCCTGGCTCCTGACTTCAGATTTGTTCAGCTGCAGCTGTTGTGGCCATTTAGGGAGTGAACCAGCAATGAAAGACACACCTCCCCTCCCCCCCTCCCGCCCCCTCTCTACCTCTTTCAAATAAAATAAAATAAATCTTGAAAAGAAGAATGATCACTCTGAATTTTCATTGAATTGCTTATAGTGCAAGAGTGGAATTTAGAAGACTAGTGAGGAGGCCATTGGAGTGGTCTGAGAATGGGTCAAAAATCATGGTGGCTTGGATCAAGGTGGAAACAATACAAATGGAGAAAAGTGGATAGCCTTGAGGTAAATTTGATAGAACCAAGTGGACCTACTGTGGTGAATTGGAAAGATGGGTCAGAGCTAAGGAGGAGGGTAAACTTAGGATGATTCTTAGATTTCTGACTTGAGTAGCTTTGTGGTGCCATGAGCTGGGAAAGACTCAGGGAAGCGAGGTTTGGGGTGGTAGAATCAAGAGTTCTCTTTTAGGCAGACATGTTCAGCTGCCTGGCCCAAAGTCTGCCCAGAGAAGATAATCAGCTCTTCTGTCCACCACCAAATCTAGCTGCATATTATTTTACTTTGTTTCATAATGATGTAATTATTCTAGTCATTGGGTATGGATGCAGGAAGATCATTGAGGTCAGAAAGTGAACATAATGTTTGATAGACAGCCAGTAGGCCAATTTGATTGGCTTATTATCAGTTGACAAAGTTGGTGCCATGTACCGTGAACTGGGAAAGGACCATTGTGCTGCTAGGATTTCATTGAAGTCATTTTTTTTTTTTTTTTTTTTTTTTTTTTTTTTTGACAGGCAGAGTGGACAGTGAGAGAGAGACAGAGAGAGAAAGGTCTTCCTTTTGCCGTTGGTTCACCCTCCAATGGCCGCCGCTGCAGCCGGCGCACCGCGCTGATCCTGGCAGGAGCCAGGAGCCAGGTGCTTTTTCTGGTCTCCCATGGGGTGCAGGGCCCAAGCACCTGGGCCATCCTCCACTGCACTCCCTGGCCATAGCAGAGAGCTGGCCTGGAAGAGGGGCAACCGGGACAGAATCCGGCGCCCCAACCGGGACTAGAACCCGGTGTGCCGGCGCCGCAAGGTGGAGGATTAGCCTATTGAGCCACGGCGCCGGCCTGTCATTTTAAAATATGAAAGGTCCTTCACATGCCCATTTATATTTCTCTTCTAGGCTCTGTACAAGCTGAATTAAACAGCTAAGATGTCTTCATTTTAGGTGTTTTATCTTAGGCAATCACAGGCTTTTACAAGCATATTGTTAAATATTGGTTAACTTGTTAATGAAAGGGAAGGTTTATATGAATAATTTGAAACTCTAAACCAGCACTGTCTAACAGAAATTTTGGCAGTAACGGAAGTGTTCTGTACCTGTGATAGCCAGCACTGTGGCAAGTAATCAGAAGGATCTATTGAGAATATGACATGTGGCTAGTGTGATGGAGGGACTGAGTTTTCAATTCTATTTGTTTTTATTAAATTTCTTTAAGTGGATGGCTTATAGCTACTTTATTGGACAGCATGTTTAGCTCATCAGCTGTTTGCTTATGGAATATATTTGTCTTTTTACTATCTGTTGGTTACTTTTTGCACAGATTCATTTTAAAACAACTTTGTGTTCCTCCAGCACATACCAACATGTCAGAGAAGGCAGAGGTGTAGACCAATGTGGGGGAAATGTCTTTGACTCCAAATTTTCTTACAGATAATGTTCTTAAACATAATTTAAAGCTGACTGTATTAAAGAGTTATTTTTTGACAACCTGATGATTATTAAACATTTGTGTTGTGTGAAGTACACGTGGCCTGCTTCTATTTCCTCACCTGTTTACAGTGAATCAGACGTCCCAATAGATGTGGAGACCATCACGTCCACCCCTGTTCCACTCTATGACAACCAGAAGGCTCGCAGCGTGATGAACGAGTGTGAGCGGCATGTCATCTTCGCCAGGACGGACGCGGATGCCCCTCCCCCTCCTGAGGACTGGGAGGAGCATGTCAACAGGTAGGCCCTTCTTCAGGAAGGTGGCTCGCTCAAGGTTGATGGTTACCTTCCTACAATTATTTTGTATTGTCATCTTCATTGACACACATTTACTGGGAGCTGATTTCATTTGTAGTCACACAGTCTCTGCATTATAACTCTCAGTGCACTGTTCTGTGAACTCTTTGAGAGCAGGACTTGCCTGTCAGTCATCTCTGCCCCTAGGACTCTGCCTGGCATACAGTACATATGTAATAAATGTTTGTTGAACAAACAAATGAATTGAATTTGATAGGTATGATAAGCTCAGTTACTTATATAGAACAGGTCATCATATAGGGCCACCCAGACTACAAAAAAATTAAATGTACATTAAATATAAGATACGTGTTTATATGGTCAATAACAAGGAAAGTAAAAAGGTTTTGGAGTTATAGGAAAAACTAACAGATGTTTGAGTGGCTTTTAAAGTAGATGTGCAATGTTGTTTCTTTTCCTTGTTTTTTGTTTTTAGTTTTCACTTACTTACTTTAAGAGACAGAGAACTCCCATTCATTGATTCACTCCCCAGATGCATTCAGTGGTTGGGACTGGCACAGGGACCAAGAATTCAAACCACGTTTCTGTGTGGGTGGTAGAAACCCAACTCCTTGGGTTTTGCTTCTTCCCAGGGTCTGCATTGGCAGGAAGTTAGAATCAGGAGCTGAAGCCAGAAATCAAACCCAGATAATGCAGTATGGCATGTGGGCATCTTAACCCCAAGGCCAAATGCCTTCTCCCAATCTATGGTTTGAGGACATACCTAAGCCCATTTTCATGTGTTTTCTGGCTAGTTTTGTTCCCACATTTCCTTGTTCTCCCAGGAGATTCAACTTCTCTCTCCGTGTTGTTTGTCCATACTCACTTGACAACATTTATTTATCATTACATAACAGCTTTATAGAGATATTTATGTGCCATGCACTTTACTCATCTGATGTGTACAGTTAGTAGTTTTTAGTATATTCAGAGTATTGCACCTGTCACCACAATTTGATGAATATTGCCATCTCCCTGAGAAAGAGACTGTACTTATTAACTCCCCATTTCCTCCCAGTTCCTCCAGGCCCGGGAACCATCAGTGTCCTTTCTATCTCTAGATTTGCCTGTACTGGACATTTCATGTAAATGGAATCATTCAATAATGTGTTCTTTTGTGTCTGGTTTCTTTTGCTTGATCTTACCCAAAAGGCCAAGAAGCTATGTGTCTGGTTTCTTTCATACAGTGTTTTCTTCTTTTTTGTTATAATGTTCTTTTTTTTTTTAAAGATTTTATTTATTTATTTGAGAGTTAGAGTTAGACAGTGAAAAGGAGAGACAGAAAGGTCTTCCATCCGCTGGTTTACTTCCCAAATGGCCGCAATGGCCAAAACTGTGCCTATCTGAAGCCAGGAGCCAGGAGCTTCCTCCAGTCTCCCACACAGGTGCAGGGGCCCAAGGACTTGAGCCATCTTCTACTGCTTTCCCAGGTTATAGCAGAGAGCTGGATTGGAAGAGGAGCAGCTGGGACTAGAACCGGCACCCATGTAGGATGCTGGCTCTGCAGGCGGAGGATTAACCCACCGCGCCACAGTGCTGGCCCCTCATGTAGTATTTTCAAGGTTCATCTATGCTATAGCATATATCAGTACTTCCTGATTATTGCTGAATTCTGTTTTGTTGTTGAGAGATTGTCCATTGCATGTATTCCCCACATTTTATTTACCTGTTGATCAGTTGCTAGAAATGGATTGCTTCTACTTTTTGGCTGCTACAAGGCTGTTAATGAGCATTCATGTGCAAGTTTTTTATAGATGTCTGTTTAGAATTCTCTTGGATATATAACTAGGAGTGGAATTACTGGATTGTGTAATAACCCTGTATTAATTTTTTTTTTGTTTTAAAGATTTATTTATTGTATTTAAAAGGCAAAATTACAGAGAGGCAGAGGCAGAGAGAGAGGTCTTCCATCTGCTGGTTCACTCCCCAAATGGCTGCAGTGGTAGGAGCTGGACTGATCTGAAGGCACAAGCCAGGAGCCTCCCCTGGATCTCCCACAAGGTTGCAGGGGCCCAAGGACTTGGGCCATCTTCTGCTGCTTTCCCAGGCTATAGCAGAGAGCTGGATCAGAAGTGGAGCAGCCGGGTCTTAAACCAGCACCCATATGGGATGCTGGCACTGCATCACTTTGGGGCTGGCGTTGCAATGCCAGAGTGCTAGCCCCTGTATTTAACTTTTGAGGACCTACCAGACTGTTTTCCAAAATGGCTTTACTATTTAAATTCTTTTTAAAGATTTGTTTTATTTATTTGAAAGGCAGAGTTGCAGACAGAAATCTTCCATTCTCTTGTTTACTCCTCAAATGGCTGCAGTGGCTAGGGTTGTGCCAGGCCAAAGCCAAGAGCCAGGAGCACATCATCTGGGTCTCCCAGGTGGGTGCAGAGACCCAAGCACTTTGGCCATCTTTCACTGCTTTTCTGGGCACATTAGCAGGGAAGTGGATTGAAGTGAAGTAGCTGGGACTTGAACTGGCACCTGTATAGGATGCTGGCATTGTGGGTGGTGGCTTAACACTCTGAGCCACAACACCAGCCCTCCATTTTGATGATCTGATTTCTCTCCATCCTTGCCAACAGTTACTATTTATCTCTCTCTCCCAAAATATTATAACTATTCTGGGTATAAAGTGACATCTCATTTTCTTGATGGCTATCTAAATCTGTTTATACATCTGTACCATATGTAAAAGAATGTTACTCCTTACATCAGGAGTTGGTCATAATGTTGGAGACCTGTTATTTCATAATAACAAGAGAAAGGAGTAGGGAGAGGGTAGGGAAGCTTGAGGTGATTAGTCTGATTGACGAGGCTGGTTGGAAGGACTGAGATTAAATGGATGCGTATGTGATGAGGATGGGAGCTGTTGCAGGAGGAGTAGTTCTGTGAAGAAGAGCTTGTGGAGAAGTTGGTTGGGTCTTGAATTGGAATTAATGATGTACCCTAAAAAGGGGACATGTTCTTCAGAGGATCAAGAGGAAAACTGTTGTGGGTGAAGATCAGCTACTGGAATATTGCTGGAGTCACTGAATTTAGCAAAAGGGTTTATTACAGTTAATAAAAAATTAATAACAAGGATAGTAATAAATGAATTACCATTTGTTGAGTGCTTTCTAGGTACCAAGTAGGTACTAAGTACTTCACAGATATTCTTCCTTTTAATTCTCTAGCAACTCTTACAGTAGAAGATACATTCCTCTTTCAACTCTTATTTTTTAAAAATTATTTATTTATTTGAAGCAGAGAGAGAGTGAAAAGATCTTCCATCTACTGATTTACTTCCTAAATGCCCACAACAGCCAAAGGTAGGGCAGGCCAAAGCCAGGAGCCAGGAACTATATCCAGATCTCCACTTGGGTGCAGGTACCTAAGTACTTGGGCTATCCACCGCTTCCCTGCACACCAGCAAGAAGCTGGGTAGGAAGCATGGAGTAGCCTGGACTGTAGCCAGGGGTTTTCTGTGTGTGATTTGGACATCCTAAGCTCTGTCTTAGCATACTATGTCATGACAGCTATCCCACCTTTTTTTTTTTTTTATGCCAGGTAGAGTTAGACAATGAGAGAGACAGAGAGAGTTATAGACAGTGAGAGAGAGAGACATAGAGAAAGGTCTTCCTTCTGTTGGTTCACTCCCCTAATGGTTACTACGGCTGGCATTGCGCCGATCCGAACCCAGGAGCTGGGTACTTCCTCCCGGTCTCCCATGCGGGTGCAGGGACCCAAGCACTTGGCCATTCTCCGCTACCCTCCCGGGCCACAGCAGAGAGCTTGACTGGAAGAGGAGCAACCAGGCCTAGTACCCAGTGCCCCGACTGGGAATAGAACCTGGGGTGCCGGCGCCACAGGTGGAGGATTAGCCGAGTGAGCCACGGTGCCGGCCCCATCTTTTTTTTTTTTAATAAGATGAAGAAACTAAGCTTAAGAAGTTGAACAAACCTTAGGAAGTGATTGAGCAGGAATTTGTTCAAACTGATCAATCTAACTCCAGGGCCCAGTATTTCCAACTACTGGATCCTTTGTGTTAAGGGCAGTAAAAAGAGTAAGAGCAGTTAATGGTGGCTCAGCTAAGTGCTCTTCAGGTGGTTATGTATCCCTTTGTGGTATTGTCCATTGCCTTGTCCTCAGTTTGAAATTTCAGAAAATGTGTAGAACTCTGTGATATTTTTTATCAGTTTACCCATGATTATGATTAAGAGGGTTTTGGAGACTATTCATGCTTGTCAAAGTCAATAGAGACTTAATACATATAAAAACCATTTTTAAATTTATAAGGAGAAAGATGTTTATGAAACAGAAGAGGTCCTTGGGTAGCCTGGCCATTATCTACTGCCTCCCTGCGTGTATATTACAGGAAGCTGGAATCAGAAATAGAGCCAGGACTTGAACCCAGGCACCCTGGTATGAGATCTTCCACCTACTGGTTTACTTCCTAAATGCCCACAGCAGCCAAGGGTAGGCCAAGCCAAAGCCAGGAGCCAGGAACTATATCTAGATCTCCCACTTGGGTGCATTCGCAAACCGCATCTTAAAACGCTGCATCAAATGTCTGCCTCAACAGACAAATTCTTATCTTTGGCCTATTTTTCTGTAGTCTCCATGTGGACCTCCATCCTTTCATTGTGATGTTTCCCTAGATTGGTAAGATTTAACAGAGCTCAGTTTATTTCAGATTTTTTTTTTTTTTTAGTGTTTGATGAGATTTTGAGTATGTTTTCTCATTAGCAACAGACTTAGAAACCATTTCTTCAGGTGGGTCATTTTTACACATGACCCATTTCATTATTTGATGGTATTGACTAGCTTCAGCTTCACAGAGGTCACCATTTGATGACCCTGTCCCTATTTGGGGTTTGGAGTTCCCTTTGCTCTGATTATAATCATCTTGTTGCCATTCTTTCCTTTTGACTTGATTGTTAAATTGCTGCTTCCTTTCTTGTTGTATAAAG